GAGAAGGAGGTGCATTTGGGGGCCCAGAAGGCGGAATGTCACGGACTAAACTGTTCTCCCAAATTCATATGTTTAAGTCTAACCCCCCTGTTGCAACAGGACCTTTAAGGAGGGGATGTAGGTTAAATGAGATCACAGTGTGGGACCCTGACCCAATGGGACTGGTGTCCTTAGAAGAGGAGCGACGCCAGTGCTGTCTCTGTGTCGGAGCACGGGCACAGCGAGGAAAGGCCGTGTGAAGACAGAGACGGCAGCGTCTGTGTGCGGGGAGGAGCGGCCTCACCGGGAACCTGCCCTGCCGGCATCCTGATCCCAGACTTCAGCCTCCAAAGCTGTGAGCAAACACACCTGTGCTGTGTGAGCCCCCCAGTCCGTGGTATTGTGTTAGGGCAGCTGAGCAGACGAGGACCAGGGGTGTGTCACCAGCTGCATTTTTTTAGAATGCTCTAAGAACACGGCAGCGGCCTGCACGCAGGCCACGCCGGGCGGGGCCACGTTACCAGTACGCACGTTGAGCTTGATGTGGGGCACGGTCAGGAGCCGCGGCTGGTCGTTGGAGAGGGGCGGGGGGTACAGCGGCTGCGTGAAGTCCCCCAGCAGCTCCTGTAGCAGCTGGGCCACGTGGTGCATGAGCAGGGCGGGCGCGGTGGGCTCCCTGGCCAGCACCTTCTGCAGCTTGCAGTGGAACAGGCAGGAGGGGCTCAGGTTCTCGTACAGGTACAGCAGCGTGTCCCAGGTGACCAGGTCCTGCAGCCGCACCCCGTTCTCCAGGAAGAGCTTCACGAAGTCAGGCTTGTTGGAGATGAGGGCGGCTGTCATCATGGGGTGAAGCTCTGAAGGCTGAGAGAGTGGACCGTGGTGGGGGCGCTGCACCTGGTCACCCCCTCCCATCATCCTGGCCTCAGCGTCCTCAGACGAGATGAGAGTTGTCTGCAGTTCAGGGAGGAGGAAACGTGCCCGGGCCCCCCTCCACCAAGGGGCGGGGTGCGGGGTGGGGAGCTGGATCAGTAGGAGGCCACCTCCAGGGCCCGTCCTGCTTGTGTGGCACAGCCCGTGTGGGCCCCGCCAGCGCCCCCGTGTGGGTCCAGAGCATCCCCGAGAAGCCCTACCTTCCACTGCCGCTCGTCTGTGAAGATCTCGCTGCGGGCAATGTCCACGCGGTTCCACGCCACTGCCAGCTTCAGCTGGTGGTCCCAGTTCTCATGCCCAAAGTGGGCACGGCTCCGAGAGGCTGTAGGTAAGAGCACAGCGTCTGGGGTTTCCATCTGTGGCTCAAAGCCACCTTTGGTCAGCACCCCTGCCATCTAACAAAGCCACAGAGGCAGGGGCCTGTCACCAGCTGTAACCTCTCCGTATTTTAATCGAATTAAGTGCAGAGCACAGCTGCAAACTCCTCCCCACGCACGTGCCTTTATAAGAGCACTTCTCCTCTCAGTGTTAGGATCAGGGACCACCTGGCCTCCTCTGCACCCCCCAGCCCTGCCCCCACTGTGGGTCCCAAAGGCGGCGCTTTTACATTAACCTTCGAAAGTCACAGCCACAGAGCATCACAGCTCTGCCTTGACTGCAAAACCACCACCTCACCCAGGTTTCCAGCACCAGTGTTTCACCCCGCTCATTTCTGCCTTAACAAATGAAAACATAGGTTGTCATTTGGGGGGAAAAAACCAAAGAACTTTGACCCTTACCTCACACCACACACAGAATTAAGTCAGGTGGACCCAGGCCTAAGCCGAGAGCCCCTACAGTGAGCAGAGGAAATATGGACAGTGGGACGGGCTGCGAAGAGCATGAACCGTAAGAACAGATCGGTAAAATGTAAGCCTTCCGCTCTTCAAAGACACCTTGAAGGAAGCGGGCAGGCCAGAGGCCAAGGGAAAATCCCAGCACACGTAGCTGGCAAAGGATTTGTATCAGAACACATCACAACTCCTACAATGCAAAAATAAGAAGACATGTAACCGAGTGAACACGGACAAACGGTCTGAAAGGCACTCCACCGAGATGGCATGCAAATGGCCACCTCGCCCAGGAAGAGACACTCCACATCATTAGTCACCTAGGAGGCCACACTGCGATGTCACCTCACACCCACTAGGATGCCTACGGTCTAAACGACGGGCGGTACCACGTGTCGGGCAGGCTGCACAGCGAGAAGTAAAACGGCCCAATCTTTCTGGAAAGCAGTTTGGCAGTTTCTCATGAAGTTAAACAAACACTCACCCTAAGGAACCAGTCATTCCACTCCTAGAGGTGCACCCAAGAGAAACGAAAGCAAATATCTGTGTTCAGAATAGCCACAAGCTGGAGGCAACCTGAATGTCCATCGACAGATGGAAAACAAACGGCGTGTGCTCGCGACACAGCACCACCCTCCACGCAGTATCACTCGCCACACAGCACCGCTCAGGACGCAGCACCGCTCAGGACCCAGCACCACTCAGGACTCAGCACCACCTGCGATGCAGCACCGCTCAGCAGCAAAAAGAAACTGAGTTCTGATACAGAGGTGAACAACATGGATGAATCTCCAAACCACAGCACTGAGCAAAAGGAGTGAGACACAAAGCAAAATACAACATCCGGTCTCATACACATGAAGTTTGAGGACATGTCACTGATCCGTGGTGACAGCAAGCAGGTAAAGGTCACGGGGTGGAGTGGAGGGAGGTTTGATGACATAGGGGCACGAGGGAACTTTCTGGGGTGAGGGAGCAGTCCTGTATCTGGACAGTGGTGGGTACATGGGGTACACACACCTGTTAAAATTCATCCAGCAGTAAACTCAGAGTGGGGGGGTTACTATATATAAACTGTACCTCAATGAAGTTGTCTGTAAAAAGGGTTATCACTGAAAAACCCCATGTGTATTTCTGTAACCACACGTGTCTTCCTATAAACCCACTTAATCGGGAGAGAGTTCCTTTCCCACGCGTACCCCAGCGGCCCACCCGCTTCCCCTAAGCATCACTTACGACCAATTGCACTGGAAGTAAGCACGCGCGCTGTCTCCCGGGGGCTCTCACAGTCTCTGTGCGCCCCTGCACACGTGGGGACCGCCAAGCTGTGCTGCACAGCAAAGCTGTGCCAAAACCATCTTCCTAAAACGTTTTACTGTGGATAACAGAGCTCCACCGTGCTCAGATCGTCTCTGTAAAGTCAGGGACTTCTTCCTGCCGTCTACACCCGCATAACCACCACCAGGGTCAGGACATGAAGCGCTCCAGCACCCCAGAGACTTGCGCACACCCCTCTCACACCCCAGCCGCCCAGGAGAGACCACGACTACGGCGTCAGCTTGTGTGGCTCTGAAGGTCATCACAGCAGACTGAGGGCAGAGTACTTGGCGTCCAGGTCCATGGGGTCGATCCTGGGCCACGAGTAGGGGCCCCCCACCCCCAGTGCTGTGCACTACTGGTCAGACCCAGTGTCCCCAAGGGCACCTTGTCACCGCCTTCAAGGATTTCCCGACACAGCCTGCCTGGTGTCCCTCCTCTCACTCCTTTGGCTGCTTCAGAGGAGAGACACATGCGTCCCCTGCCATCTGTGGGGGGACCCCTTGGACCCGCCTGCACCTGGGTATTCCGCGGGCTCTGTCGCCCTCGGCCACATGGTGGGTTGGCTCCTGATCCCACCCCACTCAGTCAGCCGCTGCTGCCAGGAGGGAGCAGTTCTTCCCATTCTCTGTTCCAGGAGAAGCTCCCTAGATGAGGCCTTTAAACGGAAGTCTCTAGTCTCCGTTTTAACCGGTTACGGGGCAGGAGAGGTTTTATGGGCCAGTGAGAGGGGCGTGGAGTGGACGTAAGAAAGAAAGGTAACGCAGGACGGGCCACCATGGAAGCTCCCTGCTGTGCGTCAGGGTCTGCTGGGGGCCATGCCCCTGGCACAGCCACACGGAAGCCAGCAGAAAGGTGGGAGACAGGGAAGAGTGAATCGTGTACCCCGAGAGAGTGAGCCAGAGAGCAAAGGGCAGACCAAGGAGAAGTGCCCGAGAGCTGCCCGTCACGAGCACCCTCTGCGTCACGGACTCTCCTAGCGGGGCGACAGCAAGTTCCAGCATGGAACCAAGTGTGGGAAGTCAGGAGTGGGACTTCCAGGCTTTTCTTCCTACCTTGAGATTTTATGAGAAGTTATGAGAACCACAAAGGGTTAGTGTGGGCTGTGCTCAGATTTCAGTAAGAACATGAGAAAGGAGCCTGTCCCCCAACACCGGTGACGGGGCACCCACCTGCCAGCGGCCCTCTGACCAGCATGTCTGACCACGTAGGACTCAGGGTCCTGAGCACCCTTGTTCCGGCTTCTCCCTGGTCCCCCCTTTGCCTGAGCCTCACCTTTCAGCAAGGCCTGCAGGATGGCCACGTCCACGTCATGCTGGCCATCCTTGCCCTCCCGGAAGATGGTCAGCAGCTGCCGCCTCCGGACAATGTCTTGGATCTGCAACGAACATTCTCCAGTGAGGTACGCAGCGACAAGCCTCCAGCCTCCTCCAAGGACGCCCCGAGAATCGGGGCCCCAGCCACGGAACTAGAGCCCTGCGCATGAGTCCTGCCTGCCTGTGCGGCCAGGGCCACACCGCCCCTCCCCACGGCCTGGGCGGTGCAGATGAAAATGCATACGGACCAAATACACAATGTTTGAGAGTGGTCTGTCAAGTAGAAAACAACCCAAGCGTAAAGAATGTTCACCTCATTCATGAGGCGATGTCTGCTGAACGCCCAGCATCATTTACTGTAAGATTTCTCTCCCTGGTCCTGCCGCCTGGGCCCTGCGATTCCTCACCCACCTGCCTACCTGCCTTCCTACCTACTTACCCATGCATCCATCCATCCATCCATCCATCCATCCATCCATCCATCCATCCACCTACCTATCTATCCACGAATATATGTATTTATCTATTCACATTATCTATCTGCCCACCCTACCTATCTACCTACTTACCTATCCTACCTACCTATCTATCTATCTATCTATCATCTATCTATCTATCTATCTATCTATCATCTATCTATCTATCTATCTATCTACCTACCAGCTCTATCCTCGATCTCTATCTATATCTACCTACCTACCTACCTATCCATCTACCAATTACATCGTTTCCTGGGTAGCACCAGTCGCTGCTCCCCATAACCCCTTCCATGGCTCCCCAAAGCTTCAGACTCCTCCCCCAGCCCCCAGGCTGGCCGCACCCAGCCTCCCAGCCTGCTGCCAACGCTTCCATAGGCACCTAGCAGGCGCCCCCGCACACCCTCCCTCCACCTCTAAGACCACAACCTTCCCCTTCCTTGGGGTCCAGCTTTCGCGCTAACTCCAAAATAGCCCCTGGTGTCCCCAGCCCCATCCTGTCCTCCAGCCAAAGTGTCTCCTGAACTTAACCCAGCCCTTGGTTTGCATGATAGCAGCTACCAATTTGGGGGCGCGTATGTGCGGACGCAAAGTACTTCGCGTAGCTGCTCATCCCATCCTCCCAGTTTAAGTGCCATTGTCCCTATTTGACAGACAGAACAACAGTGCTGAGAGCTGGCAAATGTGCCCTCTGGACACACAGCTATTTGTGGCTGGCTGTGAGCACCTTGACGAGACCCCCATGGCTGGTCCACGTGCGCCGATGGCAGCGCCTAAGGGAAAGGCCGGCTGCTCACCCCGCTGCCCACACACTGCAGACCCACGCGCTGCGGTTTGCTGCGTGAATCACTGCCCATGATCCTGTTGCTGGGGTCGCCTCCCCTCCGAACAAGAGTGACAATGAGGGGTCACCCCCTTGACACAGCTGAGACTGTGTTCTCTAGAGGCCACTTTCAGGGCCTCGACTTAGCAACGGACAGTGGGCTGAAACAGGTGCCTTTTGACAACAGTGGGTTCAGTTCTGAGAGCTGCCTGAATAATTTATACACTCACCAAGGGAAGGGCCCAGGGCCGGCCTGCCAGCTCGACATGGCCGGTGGGGGACCGAGCTGGAGCTCACGGCGCGGCCTCAGGGTCCGTCCACACACTGATGACCACATGGCGAAAGCATCTCACAGAACATCCGTGTCCAAGGAGGTCACCCCGAGGCCACAAGAAGGACTGACAAGAATGGGTCCCTCTGTCACCACAAAGCACCCGAGGAACAGACTCTGCCCCCAGCAGGGTGAGCCCACTGCCTTTGACCCGCCCCCGCCAGGGCCCAAACCCTCAGCTGCCGTCCCACACCATGGCTCCCCGGGGTGTGTCCTACCCACACATGGTCAGCTACAGTGTGTCCCCGTGGTCTTTGGTAGTGGGCAGGACCCACCCACATGGCCCCAAATCAGACACAGTCAGAGCTATGCTGCTCCCCAGACTCGCCCTGAAAAGCACAGACCAGGCACTTAAACTGACGTCCAGTATTTACAGCCAGGCCCAGCGTTCCCAGAGCTGAAGACACAGACCCCGTGACTCTGCAGCCCAACCTGCTGTCGGGGAAACAAACGAGGATCAGAGAGGCATGACTGCTGCCCCGGCCCAGAGAATCCTGCCAGGAGACGGGTCGGGTCGGATGACCTCAGGACAGGTGAGCTCCAGCCCCGGGGCTCAGAGTGCAGCCGAGATGACAGGATCTGCACGAACACAGCAACCGGGGTTTGGGGGCCTTGCTGCAGAGCCCCCTCAGCTGGCCACAGGCTTGGAGAGCTGGTGAGGGCTGACCCAGCCTCACGTCCTCACACTGACCCCGCTGGAGACTGGGGTCGTGGCCATGGGCTCACGGGGGCCCCCTGAAACTTGGATTGGGGAGACAGCTGCTGCTGAGGCCCACAACAAGTGCCCCAGGGCTCCCCATGAGCCAGACAGGCTCTAAGTATGAGGGAGACCCTCCTTTTCAGACGCCGGAAGTCGTCCCTACAGTCCACAGCAAATGCCCAGCCCGGAAGGGGTCCACCCACCTGTAAAAATTTCATCGCCCACTGTGGGGACTGAAAAACAAAGTACCTTTAATGCACTTTTGGGTGAAATTACTGAACTGCAGGGCAATTGTGGTCCTCAGCCGTAACACCCACGCGTGCCCCTGGGCCGGGAGGAGTGCTCAGGGACAGGCAAGGGCCCGAACCAGAGGTCTTGAGGGTTGTGATGCCCAAGAGCCCACAGTTCAGGGGTGGGGGGCGGGCAGAAGCAGGGCGCAGAGCCCCCAGCTCACCCCACGACTGGAGCAGCCCCTCTCTCATCCAGTTCACAGAGGCTCCAGAAAATCTCGGAAACCCGGTGGCCCAGCTAAATGCTGTCACGCTTAAAAGGGACATGAGAAGAGCCAAAGACAGCGAAAGAGAAGGGGCTGGACGCGATGTGGGCGTCATGTTTGGATCCTGGGGCAGAAACAGAACAACAGTGGCTCCGCGGAAATCCCAGCGCTCTGAGTGTGTAATTAACAGCGGCGAGCCCAAGTGCGCGGTCCGTCCTGACACGGGTTAGGTACCGAGTACCATCAGGAGAGTCGGGTGACGGGCGCACAGAAACCCTCTACCTTTGTGACTGTTGCACAAGTCTGAAGTTATTCCAAGACAAAAACCGAGGGCACAAGGGCAGGCACTTGTACAGAGCGGAGCCCGTGGCAGGGACCTCACCTTCACACGGTTCCTTCCTGGACCTGTGTGCTGCCCGCTCATGTCTGAAACCACCCTCTGTTCCCCCGGGGCAGGAAGGCCTGCCCCCTGTGGGCATAGCCAGCCCCACCCAGGCTTTGAAGTCTCCTCAACCCCTGGAGACCAGGGGATCCCCCCCCCAGTGCTCACTAAACATGCCGAACCCCAGAACAGGCCCACGCCCACTGATGCCTCTATCTGAGGACGCACCGTGCAGATCGCCACACTGCACCCAGAGTGGCCCCGTCTCCACGTGGTCTGCCTGCCCCCTGCCTGGCCAACCCCCAACGCCTCCATTAATCTACCTGGCTGGCTTTGAGCTTGCCAGGCTGGGAGGCTGGGCTGCCCTGCCGCCCGCTGCTGTCCGGTCGCAGGGCCCCTGCTGCCCTCTCCCGGCCTCCGAGCCTGCAGCCCAGCAACACCTCTTCCTGGAACAGCTGCGCCTCACACCTGCAGGGTCCCAGCCCTGGCCTGAAATTCTGCGGCCAGGAGTTTCAAGACCCACCCTCCCTGGGCGGGACAGTGTGCTGCCTCAACAGAAGGCTGCCCGCCTGCCCTGTGCCCCTGCCCAGCACGAAGCCCCCGCCCTCTGCAGGCCACTGCTGTGTGCGCCCCAGGCCCGCCAGGGACTCCGTTTCTGGGTCCCCGTATCCTGGTCCTTCTCACCAGGCTACCAGGGCCTGCAAGTGGCCATGCCTGGTGGCCGACCTGCCTGCCTGCCTCACCTTTTTGGTCCACTCCACAATGTCGCCTTCGGTGAAGGTCTCAAATATCTCCTGGAAAAACATGGCCAGCTTCCGCTGGGTCAGGGAGATGGTGATCTCGGAGACGGGCAGGCTGGCCACCTGGGCGATGACATCGGCCACGCGGCCTGAGCCCTCCACAACCACGCAGGGGGTGCCTTGGGTGATGGCGTTGTAGATGGTCTGCAAGGCAGGGGCGACCGTGAGCCCGGGACCGAGTCCTCGCCCCACTCTCACACTTCCTGAAATGCGGAACTCTCCAGGGCGCTCAGCGGCGGGGCTGACCGGCTGTCATGAAATTTACTGAAAATTCTGCTAGCGTGGCAGCACCCGCGGCTCAAAGGAAGAGGGGGCCAGTCCTGACGTGCTGTGGGGTGTGCGCCTGCCACACCATGTCCTCCAGGCCTGTCACTCAACAGCACCGGAGCGAGAGGACATGAGAGCACATCCAGGAAGACGGGGCACTGCCTGGGCTGCGGTCTCACTCCCTCATCGGGGCCCAGGGTGAGACCAGGATGACAAAAGGAGACCCCCGGGACCCAGGGTGAGCTCAACTTCAGGAAGGGGTCCCTAGCCCCAGCGGAAGGACGCCTGCATGTGAGGACGCAGTCTGGGCGCCATCCGTGAGACAGCAGTAAGGGGGGCTCTGCTAGGGGACCAAGTGGGGACCCAAGGCGTTCCCGTCCCCCTAGAAGGCCCCCAGGGTTCCATGTTCGCTTCCTGGGATTAGTAAACATCATGACATTTTCTATGCTCTCCCCAAATCTGCAGCCTGTCAGTCATACACTTTCCTACAGCAGAGAGACCATGAACAGGTGACCACACGCTGTGGGGCAGGTTCTGAATACAGGTCGAAGCCCCTGAGGGGGGGAACCCGCCTCCCAGTAGCTGCAGGTCCCACGGGTCTGGGTGGGCCGAGGGCCTTTGCTTTCGGGGAGTCTGGGTGGGTTTGTAGAAACCCCCCACGGCTGCCCAGGGGTCCTGGAAGCAGGGGGCCGTCGGCCTGTCCTTGCCACAGCCCCCTCTGGAGCCTGTTGCCTGACAGCCGATCCCACGACCACCCCCTCTGCATTAGCCTCATACCCTGTAGTCGAGAGAGTGTCTCGGAAAACTGAGGCCGGATGGAATGATATCTGTAAAGCTCTCTCGGGGGCGTCTTGGAAAACTGAGACCTGATGGAATGATATCGGTTGTCTCCCCTGGGAGGACATGTAACAGAATGTCCTGGGACTGTGCAGTGATGTACGAAGGCATAGCATTTGTTGGAGTACAAAGGGGTCAGGTAATGGGAACAAGCCTTAAGGCACCTGCGTATACACGGTTAATGATTCACAGTTCTGCAGTTTACTTCTTTGAAGATTCTCAATAAAAGCCATGCGTTGACCCGATTCAGGGCTCAGTCTTTCTTAGGCTGAGTCCCTTGGTCTCGCTCTTAAATCTTACTTCTGTCTCTGTCTCTTTATTCAATCTGCATCGCCCCTCTCGTGTCCCATTTGCCCTTGCCACGCAGGACGTGACAGGAGCCCCTCTCACTGGTCAGCCACCCAGGGCTAAAGCCAGCAGCCCTTTCCCACCCACCCCCACCTGCCTCATGGAGGACCGCCCGTGCTCCACCTCAGGGGGCAAGCGCCTTGCCCTCTCTCGCCAGCGACCCACTGGGATGCTGGGAACAGCGCTTTGGGCCGGTTGTCCCACCTGCAGCCATCCTTGGCCCCCAGGGGCCCCGCCCACATGGCCAGTACTCACATGCAGTGTGCCGGGTCCCCCCTCCAGCACGACACAGACAATGGGGATCTTGATGGCCACGCCTAGGACGAAGCAGTGAGAGGCCCAATTCAGGGGACGTGGGCGCTCAGAGCGGGACGCTCCCGGCCCCGCCAGCCCCCGCCGGGCCACTCATCGGGCGGAAGCACCAGCTGGGAGACGGCACAAGTGCTGAGCAGCTTTAAAGGCGGACTCTGGAGGCAGGTGACCTGCTGGTCCCACATAGTGAGCGCAAATTCAGAGCCCCGTGCTGGCCCCTCTCCCCACACCTGCACGCCACCCTGCTCCCTTTCTGGGTGGGCGGGGAAGGTGAGTACTGTGGATGGCAGAGCCGGGCAGGGCCCCCAGCCGGTGGTCTCTGCCCGCAGGCCGTAGCATCCTGCCTGCTTCCGTCTGCAGCCGCTCCTGGCGCCTCAGGTCTGGCCCTGGGACACATCTAGCAGGTGGGCATAAGGCATCGTGCGGGCGTGGGGGCACAGCCAGGGACCTCAAGGCTCTGTCCGGATGTTCAGCCCCACCCTGAGCCTTTCCTCCACCCCTGAGCCAGGGGTCTGGTGAAGATGTCAGAAATATCCTTCTCCGGGCAGTAAACTTTCTCCCCAGGTGCCAACATGGTCTCTCTGTGCCCAGAGACTCGCACACCCTGCTACTCCCACTCAAAGCAGGGGGCTCAAAGTGTGGTCCCCAGGCCAGCAAGTCAGTGTCACCTGGGAACTTAGAAATGCAAGTTCCTGCCCACCCAGGCTCAGCCAAATCAGAGACCTGGGTTGGGCCACCTGGGGGCAGCCCTCCAGGGGACTCTGACATGCAGCCGGGGCTTAAAAGCCTCTGCTCTCAAGGTGCTCGACCAACCCAGGTACAGAGCTGGATGGAACCTCCGGATCTCGGTCCCTGTTCACCTCTCCTCACAGCGGGTGCAAACCTGTGTACTTAACCCCACTGCCCAAGAATCCACCCAGTCCCACCCACCAGGACAAAGACATCAGGCCCACGCGTGCCACGTTCTTTTCTCTGACCTGTTTGTAAAGTGACTACAAGATGGTCTCTGACCTGAGACTGAGCAGAGAAGAGGGGCCCACCCTGATTCTCTCGCAACTTACATGGGGTGTGAGATGACCCCCCTAATCCCCCATGAACAAAGTGTAAAGAAATCTGCTTGTTCTGATGGTGCCCCGAGCGCCCTGCTGGTGGCATGTCCTGGCAATGACCAGCCCGCTCCCCTCTGTCCGGAAGTGTGCTCCCTCACCCCCTCGCTCCTTTGTCTGCTCCGATATGAACTTCTCCAGCCTGGTCCTCAGGGCGATCTCCACCCCATAGCGGCCGTGGGTCCCGTCGTCCACGAGGATGAAGTGGGAGTGGTTGCTGTCCAGGCAGGTCAGGTGCCCTTGGCCTTCCTCATCCACGATGTACTCGGCAGGGAAGCCGCCCTGGGGATGGTGGCCAGAGATGAGTCAGCACAGGGACGGCAAGTTCTGCATGGTGAATGCGGGAATGGGGGCCTCGCAGCTGGTAAGTGACCCCCGGAAACACTAGGTCCCAATCCCTGGAGCCTGTGAATGTGACCTGATTCTGGAAAAAGGGTCTTTGCACATGGGACAAAGTTAAGGATCTTAATATGGGAAGACGACATTGCATTGTCCCGGTAGATCCTAAATGCCACCACAAGTGTCCTTATGAAAGAGAGGCACAGGGAGACGTGACTGCAGAAGGGAGGCCATGTGACCGTGGAGGCAGAGACTGGGGTGACGCGGCCACTAGCCAAGGCCACCGGCAGTGGCCACGAGCTGGAAGGAGCAGACGACTTCTCCCTACAGCCTCGCAAGACGCATGACACTGCCCGCATCTTGACTTTCGCTAAGTGACTCTGAGCTTGGAGTTCTGGCCCCAGAACCGTGAGACAATTTCTGTCACCGTAAGTCACCTAGTGTATAGTCATTTGTTACAGTGCCCAGGACTCAGACCAGGAGGGCGGCTGCTGGACCAGCACACACATCCCGTGTTGTCCACAGAGGTGGCCGTCACGGGAAGTCTTCTGAACTCCAAATGGGGAGAAAAGTAAAGAGGGGTCTTGGAGGCCATCCCATCTCTCCTGGCCTCACATCTGCACGCTGCGGAGCGAGCTGTCCTGTCCGGCTAAGCACCTCTGACTCCCGCACCAAAGGAAGAGAAAAGCGGCTGGCCTGTGGCAGGCCGGCCACGTCACCAGCCCCTGTGACTGACAAGAGGGTCACCAGCCGAGGAAATGGACGCAGGCTGCTGCTGCCCGGGAGAGGAGAGGGCTGCTCCCACACTTACCCGCTCACGGGGCAGCCACAAGAAATCCTCCTCAGCACCCCCAGTGGGTACCCCGAATTTCCTGGCTGGGATCTAAGAGGGCATGTGCTCATTATGCCAAGTCTGCTGAGTCCTTGAGCAATGTGGCTCAGGGTCAAACGCTCTTTTCCAGCTCCAGCAGCCACATCAAGCAATGGCTTCTCACTGCTGCCCCCGCGAAAGGGAAACAGCTGCTCTGTCTCCAGCCTTAAAGAGGGGCTCATGCGGGTGACGGCTGTCCCCAGGTGGGGAGAGCCTTTCAGTGTAGGGGTTTAAGGGTTAAAGGTCAAGCTTTGTGATCAGACAGCCTGGGTTCAATAGGACCCCAATGCTCGTCGCTGGGTAATCTTGGCCACGCGGGTTCCTCCCCCCAGGTCCATCTCTCATCCGTGTGGCTGTTAGGATGACCAGTGGAGTCCCTTAGCCGACTCTTACGTGGACCCTCCCTGTCATCATGAGAAACGAAACCAGGGTCCAGCAAGTTAGCTGCATGTCCTGGGTCACCAGGACCTGTGACGTAGGGACCTGAGCCCAGCTGTGCTGCGTCCCTGTCCAGCCCCTTCCCTCCATTCTGCACTGACCCTGGTGCCCACTGCTGTCCTCGTAAGACCCCAAGCGTCACCTGCTCTGAGCCCGCCTCCCCGGCTCGGGCCACGCAGCTCACCGTGGGGTGGACCAGTCCGTCTCGGTTGTGCACAGTGCCCCACGTGGCGATGCCAATGGTGACAACCTCGGCTTTGTTGTGGCTGCTGCTCAGGCTGAAGTCGCGCACGGCCTCGCCCACCTGCTTCATCACACCGGTGTGGGAGCCCCCGGTAATGATCCAGGCCCCTGTGGGGAGCAGCAGAGGGCTGAGGCCACGGGCCCGGTGTGCACCCTGCCATGTGCACGCCTGCCACCCGGGGCCCCGTGTGCTTCTGATGCTCAGGCACGTTTCTGCAGGGCCGTCATTTAAGGTGCTTCCAAACCCACGGTCAGGCGTCACGCGCAAGCCTTTTCAGGAAGCCATGCCCGGGTCTGTCCTTCTGTTGCAGCTCCAGGAGCCCAGGCCCCCCACCTGAGCAAGGTGGCTCAGGGACAGGGTCTACAGGCCTCGTCCTCTCTCCCATGAACAGCCCAGTGGGGGCAGCAGGGTGTGGAGGAAGGAACTCCGTGGAGGCCACGTTGGTGAGTGTGACCAGACGCTTCTCTGCCCGACCAAGGGTGGCCTCTGTGACCCTCCAGGCCAACCAGTCCCAACACCCCAACTCTGCAGGCCCTGGTGGTCTGGGCCACTTGACCCTCTCCCTGACGCACCTGTGGTCTGGGCCACCTTGACCAGGCCTCTGCGGAAGATGCTCTTCAGCTGGGGCTTCATGTTGAAGTCCTTAGCCCCTCCCGTGACTGAGATGAGGAGGCTGGGGATGTCCAGGCCCCAGTGCTGCGTCATGAGGTGGTAGATCACGCTGGAGGGGGTGTCCTGGGAGACGCGGACGTACTGCAGGGGAGTCAGGAGACAGCGGAGGAGCCCCCGTGTCAGGGAAGCCCACCCAGCCGGGCAGGGGGACGCTTCACACCCTGGGTCTAGGTCCACTGAGTACAGGTGACAGTGCCCAGGAGGGACGTGGATAAAGAGAAGGGGGGAGGCGAAGGCGGGAAGAGAGGCCAGATGCCCACCCGCCCGCCCAAGGAGCCCGGTGCCTCCTCCTCAGGCCCCAGCCCGGCTCCCAGACACAGAGCCTCCCCACTTGCCCTCTGTTCTGGGAGCGCCCCAGCCTGAGGCCCCTCGTCTGCTTCCAGTCTCATGAGAGCGCGCTGCCATCATCTCCTCTGATGTGGCACTGCACTGTCTTTTCTTGTCCCCTTCACCCAGTACCACCTCCCTCTTAGTCCCCATCCTGGGTCCCCACGCTCTGGCCACCACATGGGGTCAGCTGTCCTCAGTCTGTGGTCTGGACACTGCCCTCGGGGGCAACTCTTACTCTGAGCCTCTTTCGTGTTGCAGAAGACCCCCCCACACCCCCACCTTCCTCGGAGACCCCTCCTCTCAGGTGAGACTCAGCCGGCATGGGGCCACCCTGCGAGCAGCGCAAAGGGCCGGGCTTGGAGAGCACCTGACACGTGACGCGCTGGTGCAGGTGGCTCTGGGGCCAGTGACCCGTCCCCAGGACGCTCCTAGGTCCACCTCCTCAGTGACTCACACGAGTCGGGAGGGGGGAAAGGCCACACCCAGCCGGTAAGAGGTTTGGGGGTTCCAGAAGCCCAGCACAGAAAGAAGCGGCTCCCCCAAGCCCCACAGGGAAGCTGTGCCCAGGAGCGACGACAGAGCCCTCCGGAAGCCTGGTTAGCAGGCAGGTGCCGGGCCCCGATTCAGCAGGGCTGGGGTGAGGCCTGAGAATGTGCTTGGCGATTCTGGTCCAGGGACCACCCTGAAGTTGGAGGCCCCGCTGGGACCCCACCCCACAACCCTGCTTGGCTAGCCAGCATGGCTCTCACCTCAGCCACCGGCTTCCCCGCCGTCCCCACACCCCTTCCCACTTCCTCACTGCCATTTCGGCGGCACCTGTGCCTGTGTCCCGAGCGTTCCCTGGCCCCCTCCTCGGCCCTGACAAAATGCCATCCAGCCCCGCCCCGCCCTGCGGTAATGGAGGACTCTGGGGTGAGTGTCTCCTGCTAGCCCTGGGGGCCCCGCTGCCCCATCTTTTAGGCTGGGAGGGCCCCTGCCCCAGGCTACAGCCAACCCCCCTCCCAGCCCAGGAGGTCCTGCCGTCGCGGGCCAGCACTGGTGGGCTCTGGTCCTCGCTAGGAGCAGCGGGCGATGAAAGCTCACCTTCCCCACCTTCTGGCCCAGGCCCGTGAAGGCGATGTCACCAAAGGCGTCCGTCGGGACCTCCTGGATGTGCTTTTCTGGGTCCCACTCGTCATCCTGGAAGGCGTGGGGCCTGAGGGCCTCCTCCAAATGCTGCTCGCGTGTGTAGCGACACTCACACACCGCCTTCCTGCAAAGACCCCACGGTCACCACAGGCACCCAGGTGCCTCTCCTGCTCCCTGCTGGGGTGTCGGAGGCCCAGTGGAGAGTCAGGTCCTTCACCCCCACCCAGCATGACGAGGCACCCGGCCAGTGTGTCAATGGAGGCCACATGGGGGCAGTAAGGAGGCACCCTATGCTCCCCACCCCCGCCAATCACACCTTGTTTAACTGGAAATCTAAGAATTTTTTAGATTTCCTACTTTTGCTAGCAACAAATGACCTGGAAGATTAGATACAGATAAGACCAAAAAAAAGTCTAAAACCCGATGAAACATGAGCCAGAGGATACAAGGGAAAGGAAACAGATTTCCTGCCACTTTCCAAGTGTGTGATTTTAGGTGCTTCTAAAACTCAGTTTCTCAACCGTTAAGTGACAAAAACATTGGGCTGTCGGAAAAGTCATGACGTATTTTTTTCTATGTTTTTCATTGCAAAAATGCGTCATGACTTTTCCGACAACCCGGTAATACATCCCCTGACCCCAGGCCTGCAAAATTCGTGAAGGTCAAACGAGGCTGGAAATGGGAAATAATTTATCCAACTATTTTGCTGATGCAAGTTAACCACACAGAGGACCAAGGATGGTTGGGAGACCCATGACCTGCCCTGAACCCAACGCCTCTGGGCCCCTCAGCTGTCCTTCCACCGCTTATGAAGCGAGTCCTTTGCTACATGTGTTTCCACTGCTCGTGCAGAGGTTCCCAAGGCTGTGAGCACAGGCCCAGCCTCTATGACCCCTCAGGCAGACACAGGCATTTTCAGACTTGCAGGGACCTCAGAGAACAACTTGTGTGGCCTCCTCAATTTTCAGTCCAAGGCAGGGAGGGGAGTCACCAGGACCAGGACCCCAGCTCTTGATCTTGGCCCCAGGCTGCCCCAGATTTTCTCTTCGGTTTTTCTGTCAGCCTACAATAGCTGCCTCCTTCCTCTCTGGACCATCGCCCTCTGATAAGATTAGATCTTAAATCTAGGTGGTGCTCCCAAGCCTGACACAGTACAGGAAGCTGTACTGAAACCGCTGACCCAGAAATTAAATCCAGAATTTGCTCCTGAACCCTCGACCTACATGGACATAAACGGGAACACCTCCACCAGCACCTGTGGGAGCAAAGTGAGCTCCTGGCAGCACCTTCTCTGCCATCCGGTCCCTTCCCGTGATGCGACAGAGCTGCTACAGGCAGAGGCCACACACACACACTTCTCCACCGGTTTGGAGTTTACAGGAAAGAAGGGTCCGGGCTTCAATCGACGGCACCACAAACCCTACCAAGTAGAAACCAGACGGCCGCAGTATGGTCTTCAAAATGATTTTGAAGCCAGTGATTCCTGTCCAGGAAGACTGTGTGTCACAGGCTCCCTCAGAGGCCATTTTATAAGCCTATTTTAAAACAACTAAGACTGGAGACCTCAATGCAAACTGCTCAGCATGTTGTCAGAATACGCAGTGGGACGCGAAACTCTGATCACGCATCAAGTACATTCAAGGTTACCAGAGTGCAACTGTCCCAGGAGAACGGCAGCAACTTCCTCCAACTCAAGGGTCTGTCCTAGGACCACCCAGTGAGAAAAGAGGGCTCTTATCTGAGGAGGAGCCAAACCGGGCGTGAACCCCCACCCATCCACAGGGCACCTTTAGGGACGACACCCTGGGTGTATCGCAGGGCCCTGGGAGCGACGTTATCTCAGTGACGGTGCCCATCTGATGTGTGTCGTGATCTTCTTCTATCTTGCCCACAGAGGACGCCCCTCCTCCCGTCATTCAGCAAATGTGAGCTGGATGCTGACTATTTGTCCAGCACAGGAAGCAATAAAGTGACTCTGCCTGGCTCAGAGGTCAGAACTCAGAAAAGAACTACACAGAGTGTGGTGGGAGGGCGAGGTTATTCTCTGAGCAGCGGTCGAGGAGGCTCTACGGCAGAGGCAGCATCTGCAGCAGCTTCGAGGGGTACGCAGGGGTTTTCCGGGTGACACTTAGGGAAAGTCAGAGAGAGTGTGGCCCATTTGTGGCACAGCACGGACTAGAGTGTGGCTAGAGGGGAAACGCAGTCACGAATCTACAGTCTGTTCGTCCTCAAGGAACACCAACGAAGTGGAATTGCTGGGTCGCATGGCAACTCTATTTTTAATTTCTTGAGGAACCTCCGTACTGACTTCCATAGTGGCTGCACCAATCTGCAATCCCACCAACAGTGCACGAGGGGTCCCTTTTCTCTGCGTCCTCACCAGCACCTGTTTCTTGTCTTGATGATGATGGCCATTCTGACAGGTGTGAGGTGACATCTCACTGTGGTTTTGATTGCATTTCCCTGATGGATATTGAGCGTCTGTTGGCCATCTGTGTGTCTGCCTTGGAAAAGTGCCTATTCAGGTCCTCTGCCCATTGTTTCATTGGATTGTGTGTTTCTTGCTGTTGAGCTGTATGAGTGTGTACTCTGGACGTTAGCCCTCATCGGAGGTGTCGTTTGCAAGTATCTCCTCTCATTCAGTTGGTTGCCTCTTGGCTTGTCCCTGGTTCCTTTTGCTGTGCAGAAGCTTTTTAGTTTGATGTACTTATTCATTTATTTTTTTTCTTTTACTTCCCTTGCCTTTGAGGTCAAATTCACAAAGAAACCCTCTGAGACCAAGGTCCATAAAATTAGTGCCTATTTTCATATATACTCGTACAATAAGATACTGCTTAACCATAAAAAAGATGAAACATTGCCAACTGTGACAACATGGACGGATCCTGAGAGTATCATGCTAAGTGAAGTAAGTCAGACAGAAAAGGACAAGAACCGTATGACTTCACTCATAGTGAGATATAACACAAAAAGCAACAAACTAATAAACAAAACTAACAAACCCAAAATGCATATAGACAACAGAATGGTGGTTACCAGAGAGGACGGGGGTGGGGGGAATATGAAAAGGGTAAAAGGGGTCAAATGGATGGTGACAGAAGACTGGACTTCGGGTGGTCAGCACACAATACGGTATACAAATGTCGCGTTATAAAGTTGTACACCTGAAACTTAAGGAATGTCATTAACCAATTTACCCAAAAAATGTAACAAAGTGACTAGCGATGCCATTGAGGTCCTCAGTCCAGGAACAGGAATGGGTTGCTTTCCTCCACAGCTGCCCCGCAGGCTCCCCCAATTCATGGAAACCCCGCTGGGGAGCCCGCAGCCACGGAGGACAGTGTCGGGCAGCTTGGAGGCAAAGTGGCCACCGCTGCCCATGGAGGCAGCCTTGGCAGCCCCACCATCCCACAGGCTCCTGGGGGGACAGGCGGCAGCGGTGCGGTGGGCCTTGGGGCCCTCCTCAGTGAGGCGTCCAGGTTGGGGACTTCCCTGGGCCCCCTTCCCCCAGTCCCGGGGCCCATGACACGCTGTTCCAGGGGGAAACAAGCCATTCTCAAGGTCAGCAGTGTGGAGCCTGAATAACTGGGTGGATTCCAAGCACCACCATGAAGAGGCCACGAGATGACCCTGGACACACCGCCTGAGCCCTGCACCTCAACTGCAAAGCAGGGTGGCTGTGACTCCTCCACACGGCTAGCTCATGGGGTAAATGGAACGGTCCCTGCACCCCAGGCCTGTGCAGACTCGGGGACGGTCCCCGCTGCGGCCCTGGGCAGTCGCTCTCACCAGCACGCCACGTGGGAACAGGGAAAGGGTCATTTACCCAGCATCAGACAGTTTGCAGCTTTCCACGAAGTACATGCACTCTTTCTTCTTGATATTTTCAGGAATCCATGAGCTGAGATTTTCCTGCTGAGGGTAAAAGAGGCACTTTGAGACCCTCGGCAATTGAATCCAGTTCTCACGGCAGCACACCCTATGCCTCTCTTAGACGCGTCCACGCTCCCCGACAGGCTTCTAGGGGCTTTTTTTGGGGAAAGGGCACCTGAGCCGTCCCATGCAGGCCGACGGGCACAGCACCCTTGTGGAGGGCACTCAGGTGTGCAGTCAGGACGGAGGAAGCAACGTGTGGGACCGTTTCCTCTGGGCCCAGTTTGAATTTGCACAGCACTTTACAGTTTAAATGTCAACACTGCCTTCGTGGGAACAACTCGGTGTGGCGAACAGGCGGCAGGGAAGGGTCTGGACACCTGCCTTGGTCCTGGCAGGACGGCAGGCTGAGATGCACTCCCGCCCAACTGACATGGGACTGTGACATTCACGTGTGCCCGTTCCACAGTCGGGTCCAGGGCCTTCTGGGAAGCCAGCCCAGGACTTAGGTTGTGCTTGAGCCTTCCCAGTCAGAAAGGATGGGAAGTTATTTCACAAAGGTCAGGGGTGACAGCTCTCTATAAATCTAGCCCAGGACCAAGAACAGGAAGTAACAGTGCCCCCATGGGGGATGGGTGGGGGACAGACATGGCCTCTACCGTTCTCTCCCGATCTCTCTCCACCAGGGCCTCCCTGGGCTGTAGCCCCCAGGACAGGAGTCTCTGCCCAGCAGGAAACGCACCCGCTGTGGTCACTGGTCCCCACGAGGGCTCTCGTGGACCTGCCGCTGAGGCTGAGCCGAGCCACAGGCCCCAGATACCTACCTTCTCACAGCTGTTGAAGGGGTACTGAGGTCTTCTCTTCTTGCAGAGGCTGCTGTTGTTTCGCCGGAGGTTGGGGGCTGAGCCCAGGTCAGTCACCTTCCTGGGCTGCACCTCGAAGCCCTCCTCCTGCTCGGAGCCAGCTTTCATCAGGGTTGAGGGCTCCATGCGGTCTCCCACTTCCTCAGGACACGCTTTGCTCGGGCTGGTTAGTCTGAGGGTTCTGGAAACACGTGGGGGGGTGGGGGCTGAAATCGATCAGAGGGGATGCAGCGGGTCTCCTGAGAGGCCCGGCAGGTTCCTGTGTGCAACCCCGGCCGTCTGTCCATCTGTGGAGCTCTGTCCCCAGCTGGGGCTCTGGGCCGTCTGGAAGCACAGGCACAGCCCCGGGTGCCAGGCACCCATTCACAACGGTGACAACCTCAGGTCACTGTGAAGGGCCCAAGAAGGGGCTCCACGCCCACCCTGTCACTCAGCCTGCAGCCAGCCACACCCAGGAGCTGGGGACGAGCAGGAAAGGCCCTGGTGGAGGCCAGTCACATGCAGTGCACACCCCACCACCCCTCTCCCTGCTTCCTGGTGTCTGCCCTGCTTTCATTTTCCAAAAAGTCCCCACTCAGCACAAAGGGGGCTTGGGGGAATGGCACAGCCCTGCACAAGTCCCTACGTAGAGCACAACACCTTTTCTCAAATCTTGTGTCCCCGGCCCAGATGCCACCGTGTCCATCATCGAGGCTGCCCTCAGCATCACAACGAAATCCTCATTTACAAACGGGAAAAACAAACAAACGTGTGCAAATCCCGCTGCCTTCCCTGGAGCCTTGATGCCTGCCATTACGACTCATGAGGTCACCCACAAGTCACCCCACGGTGTCACCCTGAGATGTCATCCACATGTCACCCCACGGTGACATCCCATGATGTCATCCATGGAGTCACACCCTCCCACCAGGCAGCTCTGAAGGTGTGAAAAGGTCCCCTTGGGACAACAGGATCACAATCCGCCCGGAAGGCCTTTCTCACCACGTGCCCTCTCAGCACACGTGAGGGTGTCATATAAACAGGCCTTTCCTTGACCATTCATCCAGCGTCAGCATGTAGTCGCTGAGCTCTGGGGAGTGGGTGGGGCCTGTCAGGAGTGAGGCACCAACCCAGCCCTTACCAGACTCAGCTCAGGGCACTTGCGGTTCAGCCACGTGGCCACCAACCTTGGGCGAACGCTCTCAGTGACACGCAGGGCCCCTCACCCCTGCACCCTAGCCCCCTCCCTGTCTTGTCCCGTCCGTTGGCCAGGCTCACTGCCAGACCCCAGCCCTGCCCTCCCATGAAGGCACCTTGCTAACACAGAACACTGTGTACCAGGAGTGGGTGCTGCTGTGACAAACCCCACAGATGTGGAAGTGGCTTTGGAACTGGGTGATGGGCAGAGGCTGGAAGAGCTTGGAGGTGGCACTGGAAAAGGCTTACGTTGCTGTGGGTAGGGTGCGCAAGCCTGGGAACATGGCTCCCTCCACCCAGATTTTGAAAGATGGAGGCCCCCCAGAGCCTCAGAACACAACCTGGGCATCGGAACACGACTCGGATAGAGAATCACCGTGAGGGCAATGCCTAGTGGAGCTGGGGTGGGGAGTGGGCAACCCCAGACCCACAGAGCCTCCAGCATGCGATCCCAGCCCGGGAGCGAGCGTCCTGGTGGGCCTTAAGGTTTCAGACTTGGGGGCCTGTGACCCCACCCTCCTTTCCGATGTCTCCCTTTGCCTGGGGATTCTGTCCTACGCCTGTCCCACCCCTGTGTTTTGGAAGCACGTGGCTGGGCTGGTCTCACAGGTTCCCAGCTGGAGAGGAGTCGCCTCAGGAGGGATGCGACCCGAGTCCCACCCCCGTCTGACTTAGATGGGGCCTTGGGTTTAGACTGAAGAGTTGATGCTGGAACAGTGGAGACCCTGGGGGCTGTTGGGGTGGGTGCATGTGTTTTGCATTCAAGGAGGAGGTGCATTTTGGGGGGACAGCAGTAGAACGTATGGCCTAAATATGTTCCCCTAAAATTCATAGCCCCCAAGGTGATGGTATTTGAAGGCAAGGCCTTCGGGAGGTAGGTCATGAGGATGGAAGCTTCACGACTGGGGTTAGTGCCCTTATAAAGGAGGCCCCAGACTGCTCCCTGCCACCTTCTGCCATGTGACGTCACAAGGAGAAGTCTGAACCACAGAAGGGGCTTCACCTGCCCGCTGGCAACCTGAGCTCAGACTTCCAGCCTCCATAACTGTGAGAAGCAAATTTCTGTTGTTTCCAGGGTCCTGCCATTTCAGGGATGGCAGGCCGAAAGATGGGACTCCTGGTGTAAACCACCCACACCCATGGGAACAGACACCATGGCCAAACCGAATAAAACTCCTGGGCACAACTTTTTATGGCTGTCACAGGGACCCAGGACCATGGGAGCTCACAGAGACAGGGGATGCTCGAACCCCACCCACCTCGGCCCAAAAGACTCACCAGGAACTAGAGCACCGGACTGGAGATGTGGGTATGGCCGGGGGCACACTGGCCAGCGGCCCGGTGTGTGCCCTCCTCTACTCGTCTAAGCCTGCAGCTGTCCCGCTCCTGTCCCCGTGTCTCCTGAACTGGCTGTGAAGGCATTTCGAGATTATAAACAGCTACACCCCAGGAGCAAAGAAAGTACCAGCTAACAGAAGTGGGTCCTGTGGTTTTGTCTGGGGTTCTGAGCAAGAGCCTGGAATCTGCTAAATCAGGTCTCTCCAGGTGGAGACACTGCGCCCCAGGATAGACCGTGCCCCCGCCCTGCCCTGTCGCAGCGCCCGCCGCGTCCCGGCGCCCTGGCCTCCTCCCCCACCCACTGCGCCACAGCCCAACGGGTGCCCGCGCCTGTGCCCACACCCCGGACCTGTGAGCCTGCGGTCACCCCTGAGTGCCAGCAGCGCTCCTGCTCGCGGCTCCGCGCCCGCAAGCTAGCCAGCGCCTAGATCTCGGTATCCAGTGGCGCCCGCGCCCCAGCCCGCGCCCCTGGACCCCGGCGCCTGAACCGACCGCGGCGCGCGCGCGCTCCCAGCACCCGGTCCTGCTGCCTCGCTGCGGCCTCCGGCTGGCGTCCACCCCCGGCCAGAGCGCGCACCTGCTCAGAGCGCCCCGCGCCCGTGCCACTCGCGCCGCTGCTGCACAGGACGGCCTCCCTCGCCCCGCGCCGCCTGCATCCGGAAGGAGCGTGCGCCCCGCACCGTCCCCCGCACCGTCCGCGTGGCCCGAAGCGCGCTCTGCGTCACTCGCCCGCGGAGAGAACCGAGAACGAGCAGAGCAGGAGCCAGGCCTCCCGCAGAGAACCCCAGACCGCACTCGCGCGGGTGTTTGCCTCCTGAGGGGCTGCTGACAAGTTTCTCGGTTAAACCCACGGGGGAAGGGGAGCAATGGAGGGGAGGAGCTGCCACGGGGCAGGACGCGACACCCAGAGGAGCCTGGGGCTGGGGGAGCCACTCCCCCGACCTCCTCAGGACCCCCCTGCAAAGACGCCAGCATCCGCCCTCACCCCACTATGGCGGGTGCTGGCCGCTAGCAGCACTGCCCCTTCCTTCTCAGGAGGACTTACTGAGTTCTGACTCCAGAAAAGCTGACCAGGCTTTTCCCTAAAGGTCCACACCACGATCCTCTCGCCCCGCAGAGGCCTCCTGCCCCCTCCGGCCCCACTGCCCCGCGGCCATTCCTGGGCCCTGCTCAAGTCCAGGGAAGTGAAGAGTGTCCTGTGGCTTCTCGGATCCGGCCGGAGGGAACCAGCTGACTCCTGACTGACCCACCACCCTCTCATTTCCTCCTCGGGGTGCACGGACCTCGTGTCCAGACTCCTGCCCAGGGTCCTCCTCTGGAAAGCCCCCGCCTCCACCTGCCCCTTCCCCCCAACACACACACACACACACACACACACACACACACACACACACACACACACACAAAGCAGCCAGTGGCAGTGCTGTGGGTCCACAGGCTGCGGATGTCCCATCTCACTATCCTGCCATCGGGAGGTCTCCAGCAGCCACGGGGAAGGTGCCAGAGCCCCAGGGCCCCTTTATAGGGCAGCACTTGATCGTTGATTCAGTCACGTTGCGAGGCATGAAGTCAGCTGCAGCATCGCTGCAAAGCAGCAGCACAGACTTGAAGATGGGCAGCAGTGGATGTGACGGGATGCGATGGCTGTCACCTGCTGGGCCACACACTGTAGGGAGCACAGCCCTCCACCCATCCTCTGCTGCATTCTCAGAGCCCAAAAACTAGCTAACACCAGGTGGGTGGGTGCCAGCTGTGGGAGCGGGCTTGCTACGGCCACAACCCTGAGGGGTGAGACCTGCCAGTGTCAGCAGGTGGTTGTGAGCAGCTGTGTGAGCCCCTCACCCAGGGCACCTTCCTTGGCTGCCATCTCATTTACTGTTTCCTGAGATGGCAGTAATGGCACAGCTGACCGACGGGCAGGCGCGCGGACTGGCTTTTGTTTCCAACTATCCCAGTCCCCGGTGGGAACGCCACCTGAGGTCGTGGCGTTCAGGAGACAGGCTTTTGGACCCCTCCCAGAGAAGTGCCACTCGTTGCACAAGGCCCCGTTCCGTCTGCCAGGACAGTGCTGCAAGAGCAGTTGTGAAATGTCCTTCCCATAAAAAGGCGTTTGACAGTAAAGCAGAAACGAAGCACATACTGGTCTTGATGGGCTTCTTTCCAGTGCAGACAGACAGTGCACAGCAGAGGGCTTTTTCATGGCACAGACATCGTGCCCAACATAAAAAGCCCGTTGCTCCGGCAGCCAGAGGAAAACCGCAACCTGTGAGAAAGACGGCAGTCTGAGCACATGACATGCACACACTCGGGCCACGAATAACTCACAGGAGCAGAGCAGCGAGGCTGTGGGCTGCTGGGAAGGGGCGGCCTGGAGGTGCGGGGGTGGGGGTGGGGGTTGCCAGCATGCTGGAGTTACAGCAGGGCTGCAGACTTCCCTATACGGGCCAGGCAGTAAATATGTCAGGCTTTACAGGCCCATGGTCTCTGTCCCAACTACTCAACTCTGCCAGTGCAGCCGGAAAGCAGCCATTGGCAAAACGTTAGTGGATGGCTGTGGCTGTGTGCCAATAAAACTTTATTTACAAAAGTAGGGAACACTGGGTCTGGGCGGTGGGCTGTGGCTCCTGGTTTAGAGAGAGCACCAAGAGACGTGGCTTCATGGCTGTGGACACCACTGCTTCTCGTCATCTCTGAAGTCGGCAGGTCATTTGATATCACAAAGGGCTGCCGGTGAAAAGTAAGTGGGAGCAATGGTGCTGCACAAGCGTGTGGACTGCAGACGCTCTCCTGGCTGCACGCCTGCTCTAACAGGGGGCACGTTTCCATAGTGACTGTGATGCAGCCCAGGCTGCAAATGCCCCTTCACCTGCACACTTTATCAGGATACTGAGCAAAATCAGGCCGGTCTTCTCTTCTCGTCTGAAGCGTGTCTGCAGTCTGTCCGTCCCGACCTCTCAGCACAGCCTCAGGGGCCTCAGAGGTCACCATGCATGCCCTCCTAGCCAAGGGGCCATGCTGAGCTCCCAGGTCTGTTTGCTGTCCTCAAGACCAGATGTGGCAGGAAATGCCATCTGCATTTCCCCACGGGGCCTGCTCTCCCTCCTCCTTCCCTCCCTTCTCACCCACTCACTCTGGGGAGATCCTGCCATGAGAGTGAAGCCCCTGCCCACAGGGGTATGAGTGGGCTTTAAAGACCCAGCTCAGGGCATCAGAAGCAGCAGCCCAGCCCACAGCCTGCTTCCTCTCCTCCTGCAGGCCCTCTGCTCCGTCACTGTCCAGCCCAATCCGTCCCGGAGCCTTGGGGTCCTGACCGCTGTGTGGAGGCCCTGGCTGAGGGCAGAGCAGTCAGGGCTGGGGGAGGGGAGCAGGCCCCTCCCTGGGTCCCTGCTGCCCCTGCCAGAGCGGCAAGTGAGGCCGCAGGGGGCCCAGGACCCCCAGCCTCCACCCGCTGCGGGCCATCTGACGTCAGGAAGCCCCTCCCATCCCCCTGTGGTCCCCGGGGGCTTCAAAGAGCCAGTAAGGAGGAGCCCCTGTAGGAATGCGTACAGCATATGTGGCTTCAGGAGTCCGGGTGAGCCATGCTGGTCTGGGCACCTGGCATTGGCAGAAACGAAGCTCATGACTCAGCTGCGTCAGAGCTGGACTCCATCAGCAAGGTCTTTAGAGATACTGAATTTTTTTTTTTTAAGATTTTATTGGGGAGTTGGGGGAGGGGAACAGTGCTGGGTAATTGGGGGAGGGGAACAGACAAGTTGCTGTTCTTCAGTCTTAGTTGTGGAGGGCACCAGTCGCCATCTGGCTGCCCATCGGCAGCTCGTGGCCTCTAAGCTCAAGGTGCTGTGTTCAGTCTTAGTTGCGGGTGGGCGTAGCCACGGTCCCATGCGGGAGTTGAACCAGCAGCCTTGCTGTTAAGAGCGCTCGCTCTGTCCACTGAGCCATCCGGGTGGCAGCTCAGCTCAAGGTGCCGAGTTCAGTCTTAGTTGTGGGTGGGCATAGCCCACCATCGAACAGGCAATCTTGTTGTTACACCAGCTGAGCCATCCTGCCACCTGTTGGCAGCTCAGTGACAGCTCAGCTCGGGCGCAGCGTCACTGGCCCATGTGGGAATCAAACCGGCGGCCCTGTTGCTCAGAGCTCGCACCCTTAAGCCACCTCTTAACCAACTGAGCCACTCGGCCGGCCCCTGAATTATTTTTTTTTAAAAAGCAGAGACCACCCTATTGTGGCCAGGATCACAGAGACCCGGGGGCACTGGCCATGTGGGAATTCTGTGAACAGAGCCCCCGAGACCTCTGTGAGAGGGAAGCCTATGCTGAAATAAGGCGGTTTCAGCGGGGGACACAAGGAAGGGCTTTGTGGTCACCTGTCCCACGGCCACCATTGCCCAGCAGCAGCACTTTCACCTTCTTCTCAGATGGCCCTCTGGGTCCCCTACCCTCTCAGACCGGCCATTGGACATTTTGCAGCCCGCCACAGCGATGGGACCCATGCCAGGCCAACCCCCAAACATGCACCTGAGCCATGGGGAGAGTGTTCTTTGCACTGGACTTGGGGCTCTTGGGGTGTGGACCAGGAGCCGAGGGTGAGAGGCCTCTGGATGTGGCTGCTGGTGGCGGGGGTGGGTAGACACCCAGGCCCTGCGCAGGCCACGCTTGAGGCCACCACCCTGGGCGTCTGGGTTACTTATGGGAGCCGAGGTTTACTTTTGGTTTAAGTTTGGTTGCGTTTCTTCTGTCAGGGTTCATTTAGGGAAGCAAAACCCCGGTATTATGAAACACAAACTATGTTATAACAATTCAGCTGTAAACAACCGTGTGACGGGCCGCGGACCTGCACATCCAGAAGAAGTTGGAGAAGTGGGTCACTGAGCAGCCCCCCGGGAGGGAGGCGGTGCCGGGATGAACGGGCGGTGGGGGGGGGCGGCCGTGGGGAAGAGCAGCACACAGCCTGCCTCCCCACGGCTGACCAGGCCGGCCTCACGGGTGATGCCGCCGCACCTCTTCTTCCTTCCAAGCACATGCCAGTCCTCTCTGGGACGAGTCCCACTGCAGCTACGTGGGGAGGGAGTTGTGGGAAACGCACAGCAATACAGCCCAACGACCAGGCGGAGTCCTCACAAATGTCATTGGAATCGCCAGGACCGACAGCTGATTCGCACCAACCACCCTGTCACCTGCAAGTGACAGGGGTGTCAGAGGTGCCCACGTGAGCACGCCTGTGTCCTCTTTCTCCCTTGCATGTGGGGGCCTGACAGGAGCCCGTCCTCACCCTCAGCCAAAAAGAGCAGCAGATGTTTCCGGCCAGATGGCCAGGCCATGTGGACTTGGGAGCGTGCCCCCGCTCCCCTCCCCAGTGATGCCTCAGTTCAGGGAAACCACATGCCCTGAATGGGAGCCCTTGACCTTCTCAGAGCAGACCTGTGGGGTCTCCACACCTTTTCCCTGTGGGGTCTCCACACCTCTTCCCTGGCCCCATCACCAACAAAAACCCTGCAGGTGCAGCCCTCCCACAGGGAGGCCCCACCCCTTGGGCATCAAGGGGCACAAGGCAGATGCCTCTTTTCGTGACTGGAAAAGCTAGAGAGCTGGGGCCCGGCCACACCAGCCCAGGTAGAAGGGGGAGGGGCCATCTCAGCCAGGTGGGGTCAAGCCTGGGACACGCAGGGCCCACGATGCTAATACCCCTTCCCATCAGCCACTGGCCCACCGGCATCGGTCACAACACGCAGTGCAGTCACCTGCCTGCTCCGTTCCCCGGAACCCAGCCCTGCACGTGCGGCTTTCTTCCATCTGTCTGCAGGATCCCATCCACACCTAGGACAGTCTCTCTAAACGCTTCTGCACCACCCCTTGGCCCAGCCCGCTCTCCATGGGTCCCGGCAGCCCCTGCTTTGTCCCTGTCATTTGACACAGCTTTTCAGCCGGGACGGCCAGAGAGCCTTTGCAAAGTCAGACAGCCTGCGCCTGCTGGAGGCTTCCTGCCACTTACTGGGGCCGAGCCCCGGTGTCGTCGGCGTTTCTCTTAGCTCAAGCCTCGTTGGTCAGATGGTCCTCTGCCTGCTTGCCGGCCACGAACTTGGAGCGCACTGCTCGGAAACGCCGTCTTCTCCCACATCTTACACGGACCCAACCACCACCGGTCGCCGCCCTGAGCACCACACCTTTCCCATTTCCCAGCCCACAGGCCGGCCGACTCCTGGGATGTTTCCGCCCTGTGACGGGCCCACAGTGTCCCTGCAGGCCACCACCAAAGCCTTGGCTTCTTGTGGCTGTCAGCTCCCCACACGGGAGCCGTTCTCTCCTGCCCTGACACCTGGGACGGTTCTCCGGGAGGCCCCCACTGATGCCAGTGTGTGCCTGAGACCTCTGACTGGCACTGTCTGCGAGCTTGCCTTCCTCCTCCAAAGAACGCCCGGGTTCTCCGTTGCCTGAGGAGGCTCAAACGCCACGGCGGGGCCACCTCACCCAGCACCGACGAGGGGGCTGGGGCAAGACTCTGACTGGTAATCCCCTTGCGGCACCCCACGGCCCAGACAAAGAGCCCGCGGGACCAAAGAGACAGCAGCAGCCGTGGTTCAAGTGCTGTGGGAACGTTTCCCTCCTTTCAGAACCCCCTAGATTGTCTTTATGATAAAATCGGCAGGGCTGGTGGGATGGGAAATCCCATGGTGAACCTCCACGCGCACCCACCAAATCGTGCCCCCTGGCCGTGCCATGGGCCTCCCGCACCAGCAGGTCCTGCACCAGCCTCGGGGGCCCCGGGCTTCGGATGCTGCGGTGACAGCCTGGGAAAGCCATCGCTGACCTCTGCGGAAGAAAAAATGACCGTTGACACGTGTGAGAATGGCAAGGAAGCCTTTATCCCAGACTAGTGCACAAGGGGAGAGAGTGGGCTCCACGCAAATACAGGACAAGTGGGGCTTTATAACCAAGGCGCAGAGCTGGGGGGCCGGTGGATGGGAAATTACTAAGCGACTAAAGGGTAGCGGACCTCGCTCCAGGCAGGCCAAGGTGACCAGAAACAACCTGGGGTGTGTGTGTGTGTGGGGGGGGGCGCGGAGACGTTCGTCAGACCGTGAGGATGATCAGTCATCAAGGTCGGGGGTGACTTATGACTTAGCAGGGTCTTTGCTGAGACCGGGCTGGGGAGGCCAAAGCCAGGACCGGGGCCCCGGGAAGCGAGGTCTCGGTGGAGGCCGACTGTCACCCCTAAGCCGTCTGCGATCCCAAATGCCGCTCTTAATGTCATTTGCAGCCCAAGTAACCTTCGATTTCTAAAAGGTTTAAATACTCGCGAGGCCTCCGCTAGGGCGGGCGGCCCCGTGTCTGCAGCACCGGCCTCACTTGCTTAAACGATGAAGGGGAGGGAGCGAGGGGGTCCGCGCAGCCCGAGGGCTGTCCTGGATGTCTTACGTCAACAGGTTCAAATCGTTGACTCCGGGTAGCTAAGAGGACACCTCTAACGCCCGGGGCTGGGGCTGGGGTTCGGAGCGGGGGGCTCGGAGCTCGGGCTGCGGCGGGGCGCGTCGCCATCTCCGGTCGCCGCAGAACCCCGTCAGAGCCGGGCTGCCCTGCGCCGCGCAGGCGCAGAACGGGGAGCTTGGCCCGCGGGGCGGGGAGGGCGGAGCCACCGCGGGGAACGGAAGCCCAGGCGGCCCCACTGCGCTCGCGCAGCCCCGCCCCCACACCGGGAGGCTACCCGGACTCGCAGGACCCGCCCCTAACGACGCGGGCCCCGCCCCCTAGAGACGCGCCGCCGCGGAGCGGAAATTCTCCAGGGTGGCGGGCGGGTAGCGGGCAGGGCGGGGATCCGGGGGTCCCGGCGGCCAGCTGCCATGAAGCTGACGCGGAAGATGGTCCTGTCCCGGGCCAAGGCCTCGGAGCTGCACAGCGTGCGGAAGCTCAACTGCTGGTGAGGCCCAGAGGCCGGGGGCCGTCCTCGCGCGTCCCCCGCACTGCCCGCACCCGAGCCCCGGGCCGGGGACCTACGCCCGGCACCCCCTCCCTGGGATGGGGTCGGGATCGCCTCGATCCCAGTGGGGCAGCTGGGTGGGGTGGAAGGGGCGCCTCCGGCCCCGCCTTCCCGGCCCCTGGCCCAGGCCGGCCTTCTGGGCCCCGAGGACCCACAGCCGCTGGGAGGTGCTGCCGCGAGCGCAGGCGGCCCCCGGCAGAGGCCGTTCCGGAGTTTTCACACCTTCCCGGTGGTGGTGTTTTGGACACAGGCCCCAAACCTGCTATCCTTGCTCGAAACACTTAGAATGACCTTGAAGACTGTGGTGGGCGTCTAGATAAGTGAGTGGGGCGGATGGTCACCTCAGTGCCCGTCCCTGGGAGCCAAGTCTGCTAAGGAGGTGGGAGGGGAAGAGCCGAGAGGCGACGGCGATGAGTCAGGAGTCGGCGATGAGTCAGGAGTCGTTGTCGTGACTGAGTCCTGGGAGGTGACAGCGGGACATCGGGACATCGGCACCGTGGGGTCAGTGCAGGCCTCAAGGCAGGAAGGTCTCCCTGGGCCCAGGAAGGACCACAAGCAGTTCCTGAGCCCCTGAAAGATGTGTGGGTGTTCCTGGGGACTCAGAGCCAGGCTTCACGGGACACTGTGCACCGGACGGTTCAGGTGGGGAGTGGGGTGCTCAGCCAAGAGCAGAGCTCCTCCCGTTGGTGTCCGCACGTTGGCTGCCGTGTGGGAGCTCCGCCTGTTCATTAAAAAGCCTTTTTCTCTGCCCTGGCACATCGGGTCATTGGCCACAGCGTCCCCCGTCATCTGTTTTCAATAATCATTTCTTTGTGCTGCATGGGGAGGTTCTACCTTCTCTAAGCAGGGAGAGACAACAACCCTGTTTTGGGCTATCTAACGCGTGTTTCATAAGTTGCATGTGTAGCCTTTGAACTTGGCCTCTTAGAAAGACTCGCTTGTTGGTTTACATCAGTGACGGAAATGACCCTGCCACCAGAGCCCTGGGAACGAGTCCATCCAGTGTCCTCTGATGGAGCAGCAGAGGCTGCTCCTTAGCGGAGAAGCAGCCCTCAGGCACCAAACACGGGCCTGGTTTTGTTGAGAATCAACCATGGGATGATTTTTGACCGTTATCTGGACAAGCTTGCTTTTAATTTGTCTTTGAAATCATAGGATCTTAAAGTTTGTCGGCATTTGTTGCTAATGTTTGCAGTTTTTGTATTTAGTTTTATGCATTCACCTTTAACAAAATTAAAGGACGTATATCTTTTCTTTTCCCAGGGGCAGCCGCCTCACAGATGTAAGTATTATGCTGACCATCTCCAAAGCGCCCTGACCCGCCCCCCCCACCCCGAGCTGTAGCCCCTCCACAGGGAATTGTTAAACTGACAGGGCTGCACCCATGCGTTTCGGGCCCTCACCCAGCACTTTGTTCATGTGGCAGTTGTTGCAAGGCAGAACCACTAACAAACTGTTCCTCGTGCCCCAGTTTATCTGACATTCCTTGGGACATTCTTGTGTCGCTGAAAGGCTCCTGTGTCCGTGCAGGTCTCAGAGGAGGGGACAGAACCAGGCGCTGCCCCGCTCTGACCTGGGGGACCGGGGGCTGGGTTTACTTTAGAGACGCATGCTTGGCTGGGGGGCTCTGTGGTTTCTTGGACGTGATGTCACCAAGGAGGTGGTTCCTCACTTCAGCTCCTCCTGTCACATCCAGCTTCGTGCCCACCCCCATGGCAGGAAGAGACAGGGCCTGGGAGGTGGGCAGCAGCGCACAGCCGATGGAGCTGGGGTCTGTGGATAGATTTCTTCTTTGCTCTCTGTGTGACTCCTAGAATGGATGTCCCCACCAGGCGCAGAGTTTGAGTACCAGTTATTTGGTTCTTATCTACTTTTGTAACTTGAACTGTACCTTTCCTTAAAAACAAAGTTGCAGATGGGCTGTCCAGAAAAACCGATTCTACCTCATGCAATAGCCGAAGTACTGCATATTTAGCAAGAAAAAAAAGACACACCATTGTGGCAGAAAGCAGATCCACTGCACATGGCAAGCCTTCGGCCCCAACCGTGAACTTGCTGCGGTCAGGGCCCGTGTGGTCGGTGCCCCGCGAATGGCCGGCACGCAGATGCTTGGGGCTGCACACTCAGCAGCCTTACAGGTTAGGGAGCTTGACGCACCCACCTGAGCCCCTCACCGCTCTGCCACTCATCAAGTGTCCATAAAATCTGATGTCCCAGTTTCAAGCCTGTCTCCTGTTTGGCCCAGCTGTGTTGGCAAGAAGGGACTTCCGTCGTTTTCCTGTAGCTCAGGGACAGCAAGAAAAAAGGGTGTCTGTCCAGCATAGGGAGCATTGAGGTCCCCTCACCTGATGTCCTTTGGCGGCGTCTAAGACCACGACTGCTCTGTCTCGAAGGCTGGCAGCATTTGATGGCATTGATGCAGTTTTAAAAGTGTTCAAGAGAGCACACATTTCTCCTTCAGGCTGCGGAGGGGCGGGCTGTGTGGAGCTCGTGTGTCCCATGCGCGTCGAGGGGAGGGCAGCCTCGCGCCGTCGGCCATGCAGGTGGAGTCCACTGGCCCCAGCCTGTTTCTCTGCTTTGCTGACAGCAGTGATGTCACAACACGCAGGCCCAGCGGTGTCTGCAAGCACACTCTCTTCCTCCCTAGATCTCCATCTGCCGGGAAATGCCCAGCCTGGAAGTGATCACACTCAGGTACCTAAACGCTGCTGTCGCTCTGCGTCACTGGGGCTCGAGAGAGGAGGAGAGCCTTCAGGGCCCCCCTGTGGGTGTGTGGCTTAGACACCAGAGCCCCCAGGAGTGTGTGGGAGGGCCACCTGCCCCTCAGCCCCCGTCTGAGCTCCCCCGCTTTCTGGCACACCCCCGGGACCACCCCCTGCTGCATCCCTGCTCACGCTCACTGTGGTCTGGGGGTGCACATTCCCCACAGATGGCCGCGTCTGCCCCCAGTACCCCAGCCTTATCTGACCTGGTTCCATCACCGCCTGGGGCTCTGCTGGTTTCTTTGTATCCCATGATCTGTCATTCATAATCGTTGGCTCTTGGGAGTCATTGGTGTTTTAACAGACTAAGGAAACCCGCGTGAACCCAATTCTGTCTCTGGGATTGCAGGCAGCGGGGAGCGGGAGGGTCTGCCCCTGACGCCCTCCTGCCCACTCTGGACCCGGGGAGGCAGCCTAGGCTGCTGGGTGCCTGTTGCTGTGATGCTGGGGTGGGCATAAGGTCCCTGCAGGTCCCCATGTGTGAAACCCGACGGTCTTAAACGCTGTGAGGAAGGCACACTGCCCGTTTGGCAGCTCAGAAGGTTCTGGAACTCACCCTGAGTGTTGTGGTCATAGGCCCTGGGTCGTGTGCAGACCCCGTGACTTACCTTCCTGGTCACACGGCCAGCCACCCTGTTTGTCCCTCGCTAGCCCTCTGCTCATTCTCTGCGCCTTCTGCGACCGCCTCGTGGGTCCCCTGCTGCCCTCCATGTGCTCACAGCAGCCCCAGCCCTGGCCGAGCCTGTCCGGTCAGTGAATGAATGAAAGGGCTTAGAGCTGTGCCGCCAGGGCGAGGCGCAGACCTCTGTGCCTCAGTTTCCCTGTGGTGGCAGACAGGTACTCCCCACACTGTCTCCGCAGCGTCAACAGTGTGTCAACCCTGGAGCCCATGAGCTGGTGCCGGCAGCTGAGTGAGCTGTACCTGCGGAGGAACCGCATCCCCAGCCTGGCTGAGCTCTTCTACCTGAAGGACCTGCCGCGCCTGCGTGTGCTGTGGCTGGCGGAGAACCCCTGCTGCGGCCCCGACCCCCACCTGTACCGCATGACCGTGCTGCGCGCCCTGCCGCACCTGCAGACGCTGGACAACCAGAGTGGGTGACCGCGCCGGGCACGGATGTGCAGAGCCTCTACTCTCCCTGAGGACCCCCCGTTTCTGTCTTTCAGAATGTCTGCGGGACCCCCTTCCTTGGTGCGGCCCCAGCGAACCTCACAGTCCATTTGTCCACCTCGCTGTCCATGCCCGCTGGGCTCTCTTCTCCTTCTCTCCTGTTAACACTGCTCCAAACACATGTCCACCGACAGGGTCACTACTGGTCCATGGGGACCCGGGGTGGCGGTGCCCTCGCCCTGGGTCACCTGTTGTCCGCCTCTTGTTGGGTGTGGAGTGCCACCTGCACCCCTGTGCCCAGGGCACCAGGGTTTTGTGCTGCCACCTCGGGAGTCCCGCCCGACCCGGGGCTGAGCCCTTCTCTGGTCAGTCCCCATGTTCTGCTGCCTCCTAGCCTCATGGGCGCAGCTGTTGTCTCCCAGACGACCAATTTCAATACAGATGAACTCTAGGGAAACTCAGTCACATGTTGGAGAAACGGGATGCACTCTTATTCTGTTCCAGTTTAATTTGAGGCTTTTTATGAGTATTTGCATTTGGAAAACACTGAAATTCAGATTCACAAGCAGTCATTGGCCACCTGCTGTGTGTCCAGCATGAGTAAGGGCTGGGGACCGGGCCCTGTTCTGGGGGCGCTGGCCGTCAGGTGGACAGACACCCCTTTTCTAAGGCAGACTGTGCTAAATGCTGGGGTGCGTGGAGCCGGCGTGCGCTGAGACCACTCATGCTTTCGTCCCCTCTCCTTCCCCCCGAAGCGGTGACCGAGGAGGAGCTGTCCCGAGCGTTGATGGAGGGAGAGGAGATTACGGCGCCCGACAGAGGGGGCACCGGGAACGGCGGGCCAGAGCCCTACACCCTGAGCACCATGAATGCCACTGCTGAGACCCAAGGGGACCTGCTGAGCTTCAGCGAGGAGGCCAGGTACGCCCGCTGGCCTGTCACCATCCTCCTCCTCCGAGGGTCCGTGATCCGTGACTGCCTGAGGAGGGAGGCGAGCCAGTGCCCAGGGCCATTCTTTCTCATCTGGCCCTCGGTGTCCAAGAGGAGGCCAGGGCACGGCGTGTGTGCAAGTGGGGACCCAGCCCTGCGTGGGGGCAGTGGGCACACGAGGGCAGCTGGGCTGGTGGAGGGAAAGCTGCAGTGCAGCCTCCTGGAGCCTGTGGGGGACAGAGGGCAGCCTCTGAGGGCAGTTCTCTGATTGTCACGGGCGTTTTTGAGCAGAAACTTAACACAGATAGTTGTTCGAGCGGGGCCACCAGGCTCAGTCCACTTAGCAGGGGAAGCCACCTTTTGTTTTCCTGGGCTGTCACATGCAGAGGCTGTCACAAGCATTGTTGCATTTAGTGCCCCCACCCAGGATGCTGGGTAGGAGTTCGGGGTGCTGGAAGGCAGCCCCCAGGGAATCAGAGAGAAATACAAGGTCTGACAATTAAGTTCACGAACCCATCCTAGAAAAAGTGCCACACGCCTCATTGCTGAATATCACTAGGTCACCTTCGAAGTGCTCCCCTTGGGAAGCTATGCACCGATGCCAGCACCTAATCCACCCTTCAAAGCAATTTTGGAACTTTTTCTGGAATGGCCATCAGAGCTGTCATCATATCACCCTTGATGTCCTGAATGTCATCAAAATGTCTTCCTTTCAATATTTCCTATATCTTTAGCTAAAGAAAGAAGTCACTGGGGCCAGGTCAGGCGAGTAGGGAGGGTGTTCCAATACAGTTATATGTTTATTGGCTTAAAACTCCCTCACAGACAGTGCCATGTGAGCTGGTGCATTGTCGTGATGCAAGAGCCATGAATTGTTGGCGAAAAGTTCAGGTCGTCTAAGTTTTTCTCGCAGCCTTTTCAGCACTTCCAAGTAGTAAACTTGGTTCACTGTTTGTCCAGTTGGTACAAATTCATAATGAATAATCCCTCTGATATCAAAAAAGGTTAGCAACATTGGTTTAACTAGTTCATGAACTTAATTGTCTGACCTCGTAGGTGCTGGGGCCTTGGGTCTGCCCCCCACCCTCCTGCCCGGTGCTCCTGTCACATGATGGGAGTTTCCCTGCATACTGGTGGGGGGGTCGGGGGAGGGGCAGTGGGAGCCGGGGACAAGGGAGCCCGTTATTAGGAGTCTCTCCCCGTGGTGCTCCGAGGCTCCGGGAGCTGACCCTGCACAAATGGTCATGCTCCTTGGCCCTCACACCACCACTGTCCCCCAGCAGCAGCGCCCAGGGGCAGCTCTGCCTGAAGCCCCTGGCCCGGAACCGGTTTCTTCCCTTCTCACAGAGGGAGGCTGTGAAAAGTCACAAGAACAGGGTGAGTGTGACAAGGTGGCCGCTGGCGCCCTCTGTGCAGACTGTGGGATTTATGCGGCTGAAGACACGGCAGGGACTCACAAAGCCAGGCCCCAGGGGCAGGGAGCTCCAACCTGGGTCTCTTCCCGAAAAATCCTTTCCGGATTTTTACAGCAGAAACGACATTTTCCTGCTCAAATGCAGACAGAAACTGGGTGTAGGCACACGGGGACACACACACCATACAAACAGACATGCGTGTCTTTGAGCATGTTATTGAGCCGTCCGATCCCAGCTTGACTACTGACTGACTGGCTGTGTGACCGAGGACGAGTTACGCAGTGTCTCTGGGCCTCCAGGCTGAGCACAAGATGAGTTGGTTGGTATGTAGGACGCCCCGAGGTGGTGAGTGCCACACCAGAGCTGCGGCTTCATGCGGCCAGAGTCCCCGTCATGCTGTCGGTTGACCTGGAAGACTGATCCCCGTGACGTGGCGTGCTGCTGGCCAGGGCCCCAGGCACGTCGTGGTGTGGGCAGCCGGACCCAGGTGGGCGTGGTGCTCAGCTAGGACTCTCTGTGTCCCCAGAACAATGTCCTGGCTGCCATCCTGCTGCTGCTGCAGGACCTGGACACCGAGGCGCTGGAGGCCGTGCACCAGACTGTGGTCAGCCGGCTGCAGGCCCTGCACAAACAGGGCCTGCAGGAGGACATGGAGTGACCCGGCAGGGACCCCGAGCTGCCAGGCCCTCCTTGGGACCCTGTGCTGAAGTCCCAGCATCTTCCTGTGCACCTGGGAGGTAGGGGTGATTGCCACAGCCGCGGCCTCCCCTGGACCCGGGCTGAGTTCCAGCACCGCGGGCTGCGTCCTCAGGAGGCCTCAGGCCGCCCTGAGCTGTCACTGTGGATGGCCCCTGGCGAGGCCAGCAGGGGCATCAGGCGCTGGCTGCAGCCCCGCTCCCATGCTCGCCTGTACGGGAGGCGAGGCTCAACTCAGCTCTCCCTAATAAACCTTTCCCAAAGCTCCACCTGGGAGCGCTTTCCTGTGCCAGACGTGGCCTTGACCTTGTTTTTAAAGGTGAGAGCCATTGCTCATGCGTGTTTTCCCTGGTCAGGCCTCTGACGGCTATGCGGGGATTTCTGGACCAGGGGAGCCTCCCAGAACCCTGGCCTTACAGACGGGCTCCCCATCGGGTTCACGTCGCACATGCACAGCACAGCTGCCCTGGGGGACGCCTGGTTTGGCTGGCGGGCTGGGAGGAAGGCGCTCGCAGTGATTCAGGGTTGTTGGTGCAGACCCTGTATGAGCGGCCTTGGAGGGACAGGCCTGCGCCTCTGCTTAGGGACCCAGGTGTGCCACAGGTGAAGCAGCTGGGTGGTAACTTCCTCTGGGAAGTCGCAGGCCTTGCCTTGATGCACAGGACCCAGGTGGCGACGCTGCAGCCCTGGGGGGCCTCCCAAGTGCCCCCAAAAGCCAAGCATGTGTCCGCGTGGAAGGGGAGCAGTGTGGCCTCCCAGCCTTTAGGGAAAAGCCCCTCCTTACCGGTGTTGAAACGACAGGACTGGAGAGCACACCGGGAAGCTCCCTCCGCCCGTCCCGTCGGGGCGGGAATGCCCACGGCCTCGTGTGAGCTGATGGCACTAGCTTGTGTGACAGCCGCACAGCTTAAGGGGCGACCACCTCAGTGTATGCAAGGCCAGCAGCCAGGGACAGAGTGACCGCGCCTGGGAGACCACGGTCCTCCTTCACGGTGGAGCCACCGTGGTGCGAGCTGTTTTCACACCGCTGAAGGCCGCCGCACGCAGGACTGGGGGAGCCTGGGTGGAGGTGGGGCTTTAACTGTGGGGCTCTTTTGTAGCTTGTGGGGACAACAGGTGAGCTCCGGGTCGCCACCTGGGGCCATGTGGAAGGGCTGAGGGCGTGTCTTCCTGTAATTAGGGAGGTTGGATGCTCTCAATAAAGCTGTGCCTTGGTTCCAACAAGCTGGGGTGGTTGTCTTGAATTACGAACACCCCGTTTCCCACTCACCAGGCAGTCAGGGCTCACACCACCTGCCCCGCACCCTGTACACTCACTGGGACGGAGCCCAGTTAGGGTGAGCTGCCTGCCTCAGCCCCGCAGCTCTTCACTGTCCCCCGTGGTCCCCCCGCCAAATCAGTCTGTCAGCTCACCAGGCCCCACTCCGGCCATCTGCTCACTCGCTGCCCTGTGACGCCCTCAAGCTGGACTGAGGACAGCATGTCCACCCATGGCCTGTGGTCTCTGCCAGGCACTTGACCGTCCCCACTCCGAACTCCCCAGGTAACCCTGAAGTGAGCATTTCGGGCACAGCAGGTCTTGGCATTACACCCTGTGTGTGTGTCCCATTAGCCCCAGTTACACAGGAGGGGACTGAGACCCAGGAGGACACGTCACTCGGCCTGCCTGGAACAGCCTATACTCATGTACTCGTGGCAGCAGGGCAGAGCCGAGGGCTCAGCTCAGGAAAGGGCACCCGGGAGCTTGACTCTTGGGCCAACATGGCGAGGCTGGTATGGGCCTCTGGAGCAGGGCCAGCCCCACCAGGTCTGCTGTTCCCCTGGAGTGACCAAGGCTGCTGCCAAGATCGGAGGGGGCCGTGAAGGCAGCCTGAGGAACAACAGGCCCCGGCCTGGTCCCTAGAGCCACTGAGCCAGCCTTGTCCCAACCAGGAGGTGTGGCCAGGGCCTCTCCACAAAATCCTGTGGGTCCCAGAACCTCGTTCGGAGCCTCCGCAGGTGCTGAGGGCAGGACTGCAGGCCGGGAACAGTCCCGGGCTAAGTGCCCAGGTGGCCACGGTGGGTGCCGCAAGTCAGGAGTGACAAGTCCCACCGAAGTGTGACCTGGTGTGGTCCAGGTTAACTCGTCCCCCAGGTGCCCCAGAACTTGTGGGGGATCAGCCCACAGCCCGTGGTGGTGAAGTCTCTGCCCGCCTCTCCCTCCCTTTGCCCCCACCAAAGGGTCTCCAAGGACCACAGAACAGCTCCAGAGCCAACCCCCTTCCGACCGCCAGCCCTCTTACCCCGCTAGACGCTTCCACGGGCCCTGCTTTCCAGAGACTGATAGCACCCCACTGTTGGGGTGATTTTATTTCTAAAAAAAGTGACAAGCTCTGGTCAGCCACAGTGGCCAGTGCACACAGGGGCAGAGTTCCAGCGAGGCCCATGGGGACACCCCCCACCTTGGCACAGAGACACAGGCGCTGGACCCCAAGGGCTGGTGAGGGAGCGGGCCGGCCTGGGAAGAGGCTCGGGGCCATGCGGGGGGCTGAGAGGAGGGCAGTGGTGTCGGGACTCGGATGCCCCACGTCCCCCAGGGCTGGAAGGTGGGTGCCTGGGGTGCTCTGTCCTGGAGGAGAGCCCAGTGGGCAGCGAGAGGTGAGGCCGGGGCTGTGAGCCCCCGGAGCAGGGCCAAGAGGGCCACTGCCCGCCGCCCGCCCGCCCGCCCGGGGTGGGGGGGCCGGCTCAGAAGCCCTTGTCGATGCTCAGCGTGCGGCGGGTGACGTGCTCCAGCTCCCCGGACACGTAGTCGGCCATGCTGATGCGGTAGTGCGCCAGCATTTTCAGCATCAGCCGGAGGTTCAGCCACCACTGTTCCCGGGGCATGCGGTGCCTGGTGCGGGGGGTCGGGTCAGGGCACCTCCTGGGGCCAAAGCCCCCGCCAGGATCACACCCCTCCTCTGAGCCCTGCCCAGCTCCCGCATATAAGTGGCCCACGGCAGTGGGGTCTGGGGTCCCCGTCCCTCCAGGGCCTGCGCCCAGGACAGGCCCAGCACACTCGCTGGGGGTAGAGTGGACAGCGTGTGCACTCAGACCCGACAGTCCTGCTGGCCCTCCGCACCCCTGCCCCGTCCACCCGCCCGGGGAGGTCTGGGCCCAGCGGTCCACCCTCGCGTCCTCGGGACTCACTCAAAATCAGTGTCCTTCTTCAGCTCTGTGACGGGGCTGAAGGCCACCGCCTTCTTCCTCAGGCCGATCACACAGGCCGAGTCTGGGGCGTTGGCAAACACCCGCCCTGTGGACACAGGCACGTGCTGCAGCCCCACCCCCAGAACTGCTGCCAAGGGCAAGGTTGGGCAAGGACGGGCAAGGGGGGGCGGGGGCGGGGCGGGGCGCCCACATACCATTGCGGTAGACAGCCCGGAGCTTCTCAGACATCCAGTGCATGGCCTTCACCCCGAGCTTGGTCCCGTAGTTCCGGTCAAAGGGGGTTGGAGCCCCACCCTGGAAACAGTGGGTGAGGCTAAGGCCCAGCCCCCAGGAGTCCCCAAACGTGGCCCCACTATGGCCTCAGGTGAGCCCTCCAGCCAGCTTCTGATGCCCTATCCCCTCTGTCTGCAGCACCCCTGGCCCCCCTCCACCCCAAATCTGGCCTAAAAGCAGAGGCCAGGCAGTGGGCTGACTAATCACCGGATGGGGTGGCCCCCACGGGCCTCTGCATCCAGCAGGCAGGTCCCCCCACCAGTGAGCAAGGCCCGCCCCCCCGAGAAGGGAGCCCTTGGGATCCACACAGCCCTCATGTCAGGCTGGGAAACCCCGCAGATCCAGCTTCCTGCCACCAGGAGGCTCGGAGGGGGAGACGACGTGGTGGGGGAGGTGGCCACAGGGGTCCCGACCCCACCCCTTCCCAGCAGTGAGGCCTCAGCAGACAGGAGCCTGGTCTCCCCGCCTGTGTGATGAGGTGATGAGCCCTCTGGCCACGGGGTGTGAGCACGAGGCGAGGACCCACAGCCAGGTGCCCCAGAAGGACACGCACAGGAAGCCCTTATCCTGCTCGGCCCAGGTACAGGCGGAGGAGGGGGCCCGAGGGCCACCTTCCAGAACCCACACTGCACCACACCACACCTGCTGCAGGTGGCCCAGGACGTTGGTCCTGCAGTCGAAAATGCCCTTCCCCTCGGAGGAGTAGAGGTTGTACAGAAACTCCGTGGTGTAGTGTTCATGGCACTTCTCGTTTCTGCGAAGACGAGCAGGAGGCCTGGGTTAACTGGGAGCCTCTCGGGAGCGCCGACCCCACCCACTCCTCTCCAAGGCCCCCTGCACCTCGCTCCGACCCGAAGCCCCGGGTCTGGAAGTGCCCGCCGTGGCTGGGGCAGACCCTCCTGCCGGGGCCCAGGCCCGCCCACGGCCTCACCGAAGCACCAAGCCCCTCTGGATCTCCGTCTTCATCTTCTCCGTCATGTGCTCCACGTTGGCCTGCAGGGGCGAGGGGCGCGGTGAGCCAGCACTGCCGCCACCGCTGCTGAAAGGCAGGCTGTCTGGGAAGGAACATTCCAGGCTAACTGACACCAGGACCCACGGGTGATGGGGGCACATGCAGGAGTGCACTGAGAGGTGGCGGCTGGACTGTGAGGCCACGGAAGCAACAATGTGGACACAAGGCAGGGTACTGAGGGGGGTCGGGGCCCAGAGTCACGGGCCAGGTCCCCTCACAGGCAGTGAGCCCCCAGCCTGCTGGGCCGTGGCTCCTTGGCCAGGCCCAGCCGCTGTGCCAGGCTGGCCCTCATGTGTCAGGAGGGGACCCACTCAGCTTTGCTGGGTGGTCTGCAGCAGAAGGCTGAGGGCTCGGCTCACCTTTAAGTCTTGGATGTTGAAAGGGTCCTCGAAGATGTAGGCGGCGTCAGCCCCCACGGCGATGCCGGTCACGGTGGCCAGGTAGCCACAGTAGCCCCCCATGGTTTCCACAATGAACACACGGCGCTTGGTCCCCGAGGCCGACTGCTTGATGCGGTCACAGCTCTGGGGGGGCAGGGGTGGTCAGGGACCTCCGCGGCGGGCCGGGGGGAGCGCTATGCTGCAAGGACCTGGTCTCTCTCCAAAGTGACTGAGGGTCAGGAGGAGGCCGAGGAAGTCCCACACCCTACGTGCCCAGGGCCCCGCAGCCCTCACCACAGGCTCGCCACGGGCCACACAGAATCAGGGTCCTCAATCAGGGAGATTCTGCCCCCGGGGGCAACGGGGGTGTCACTGGCATATAGCGGGGCAGAGACCAGGGACATGGCTAAGAGACTCTCCCTGACGTTGGGCCTTCGCGTCTCATCTGCGAGCGGGGAAGGCCAATGCTGCCATTGCAGGTCATTGTACACCAGGGACCGGCAACACGTGAGGTGACATGCTCATGAGGTGCTATCGGTAACGTGACGCGTATCAATAATCCTGACTCTGAATGAGTTTGAAAAGGAAATTGTAACATGAAATAGAGAATTGAGAAAAAAGAAAGAAAACAAGATAAGTAGGTTCCTGGGGTCTGAACCATGAAGCTAAACCCCAGATAATAGACAAACAGCAAAAAGGAGAAAACAGCTGTAACATCTGCCCATCTGCCCAAGGGTCAACAGCCTACACGTGTAAAGAGCACTTGAAAAAAAAAAAAACTCACCAAGAGAAAAATGGGCCAATGATAAAAAAGATAATTTAAGTTTAAAAAAAAGGGGCAATAAATGTACACAAAAATGTTCAACTTTATCAGAAATCAGAGTGGCCAATTAAAACAGAAGCCCGCCTTCCCCGTCTCAGAGGCAAAGCACACAGGCCCACGCGCGGCACTGGCGAGGCACGGGCACCAAAGGCTCAAAGGAGCTGTGGGCGACCCACAGCCGGCGGAGACGACAGGGGTTCAAAGAAAGCCCCGCAGGATCAGGGCGTCTCTGGGTCGGGAGGTCCCTTGTTTCCCGAACGCACAGGACACAGCTGTGTGCAGCGTGCCCCTTGCAGCCTCACAGCCCCCCACAGAGGTCTGAACCCCCAAGTGAAGTTGGGCTTCAGTGGGGTCACAGACGGGTGGGAAAGGGCTCAAGCATGGGGAGTGCAGTGAGGAGGCCCCCCCAGAGCCTCTGCTGGGGACACCCTGCTTGGGCCCCTCCAGGAATGGGGCCCCTCCTGGGACACCCACAGAGGAGGACAGCTGTGACGACTGCCAGGTTCTCCCGAGCACCCCCCACTCCCCAGGCCCAGCCGGCAGCCTCAGCTCCCCCCAGATCCATGTGTGACCACTTCCCCGGACAACCGTGGCTCGTCAGCCACACCTCTACGTGAGGGCAGTGACGTGGGCTCAGCCCTGACCACTGTCATCCTCACGCCCTGTGACCCCGACCACACCCCTGCCTGCCGTCCACAAGCTTCAGGGCACAGCCGGGTTCTGCCCACCCCAGAAGCGCGCAGCCGGGTGGGCCCCATGCCCTGTCCTGCCCGAAGCAGCCCCCCAGGCGCCCACCACTGTGCTCTTTCCTGCCGTGTCCCTCCCCTGGGGGCACACCCCAGCCACCCCATCCTACTGTGGCCAGCCCCAGTGGGCGGCAGGGGTCGCGGTGTCCTACCTCCATGGCGGCGTTGACGGCGGTGTCGGAGCCCAGGCTGAAGTCGGTGCCCGGCACGTTGTTGCTGATGGTGGCAGGAATGACGCACATGACGATGCAGAGCTCCTCGTAGCAGCCCCTCGCCTCCACCAGCTGCAGCACCCCCTCATAGGCCTGTGGGACAAGGGGCGCAGGACCCGGAGGGACAGGCGGCTTGGGACCCAGAGGGGCGGGGGTGCTCAGGGGACTCAGGACCCAGAGCAGTGGGGCGCTCAGGAACTGGGGAGGGGGTATCCTCAGGACCCAGTGGGGCTGGACTGGTGAGGAAGGGGGGCTCCACCCCAGCTTTGCAGCTCCCATGGGCCAGGGACAGTGGGCTCCAAGGAGGACAGGAAGGAGGCTGACCCCTGCTCCACCCTCACCCCCCGACCAGGACCTGGGCTGCCAGCTTTAATCTGAGCTGTGAAGGTCAGGAGAAGGTAAAAACCCTCCTAAGCCAAACGCCACACTTCCCTCGGCCTCGCGGTAACCTCCCTGCACATGTGGTTTCTGGAAGGGCGAGGGAGCTGCTCTCGAGTCCCCTCCCCCACTCTCGGTCCCCGGCGGTGGCCTCACCTCGAAGCCTCCGATGACCAGCAGGGCGTGGATGTTGTACGTGCGAATGTTCTCCACGATTTTCTCTATGTAGCTCTTGGGCAGCGTCCTGCAGCGGGGGAAAATCAGACCAGCATGTGGCCTGCACAGACTGCCAGGCCGCAGGCCACAGGGCCACGCTGCCCTGACCTGCCCCCAACCTGGGGATGACGCAGGCCCCATGGGGGTGCAATTGTGGGTTAGAGGCAGAAGCAGAGGCTCAGTGCCCAGCGGTGGGGGGCAGGCAGCCTGGCACCCACTCGGCGTCCTTGCCAGCACTGGCCAGGTGACGGGGAGCCCCTCACCCCTGCGACCTGTGAGCTCTCTGCAGATGTGGGGCCGCTGAGCAGCCTTGCCCTACACACGCGGCCCCAGGGGAACCCTCCGTCAGGGAGTCCCAGGCAGGACGGTCTGTAGCCCGCTGTGGCAGGCCACCAGCAGAGGGGTAACCTNGCTCAGCGTGCGGCGGGTGACGTGCTCCAGCTCCCCGGACACGTAGTCGGCCATGCTGATGCGGTAGTGCGCCAGCATTTTCAGCATCAGCCGGAGGTTCAGCCACCACTGCTCCCGGGGCATGCGGTGCCTGGTGCGGGGGGTCGGGTCAGGGCACCTCCTGGGGCCAAAGCCCCCGCCAGGATCACACCCCTCCTCTGAGCCCTGCCCAGCTCCCGCATATAAGTGGCCCACGGCAGTGGGGTCTGGGGTCCCCGTCCCTCCAGGGCCTGCGCCCAGGACAGGCCCAGCACACTCGCTGGGGGTAGAGTGGACAGCGTGTGCACTCAGACCCGACAGTCCTGCTGGCCCTCCGCACCCCTGCCCCGTCCACCCGCCCGGGGAGGTCTGGGCCCAGCGGTCCACCCTCGCGTCCTCGGGACTCACTCAAAATCAGTGTCCTTCTTCAGCTCTGTGACGGGGCTGAAGGCCACCGCCTTCTTCCTCAGGCCGATCACACAGGCCGAGTCTGGGGCGTTGGCAAACACCCGCCCTGTGGACACAGGCACGTGCTGCAGCCCCACCCCCAGGACTGCTGCCAAGGGCAAGGTTGGGCAAGGACGGGCAAGGGGGGGCGGGGGCGGGGCGGGGCGCCCACATACCATTGCGGTAGACAGCCCGGAGCTTCTCAGACATCCAGTGCATGGCCTTCACCCCGAGCTTGGTCCCGTAGTTCCGGTCAAAGGGGGTTGGAGCCCCACCCTGGAAACAGTGGGTGAGGCTAAGGCCCAGCCCCCAGGAGTCCCCAAACGTGGCCCCACTATGGCCTCAGGTGAGCCCTCCAGCCAGCTTCTGATGCCCTATCCCCTCTGTCTGCAGCACCCCTGGCCCCCCTCCACCCCAAATCTGGCCTAAAAGCAGAGGCCAGGCAGTGGGCTGACTAATCACCGGATGGGGTGGCCCCCACGGGCCTCTGCATCCAGCAGGCAGGTCCCCCCACCAGTGAGCAAGGCCCGCCCCCCCGAGAAGGGAGCCCTTGGGATCCACACAGCCCTCATGTCAGGCTGGGAAACCCCGCAGATCCAGCTTCCTGCCACCAGGAGGCTCGGAGGGGGAGACGACGTGGTGGGGGAGGTGGCCACAGGGGTCCCGACCCCACCCCTTCCCAGCAGTGAGGCCTCAGCAGACAGGAGCCTGGTCTCCCCGCCTGTGTGATGAGGTGATGAGCCCTCTGGCCACGGGGTGTGAGCACGAGGCGAGGACCCACAGCCAGGTGCCCCAGAAGGACACGCACAGGAAGCCCTTATCCTGCTCGGCCCAGGTACAGGCGGAGGAGGGGGCCCGAGGGCCACCTTCCAGAACCCACACTGCACCACACCACACCTGCTGCAGGTGGCCCAGGACGTTGGTCCTGCAGTCGAAAATGCCCTTCCCCTCGGAGGAGTAGAGGTTGTACAGAAACTCTGTGGTGTAGTGTTCGTGGCATTTCTCGTTTCTGCGAAGACGAGCAGGAGGCCTGGGTTAACTGGGAGCCTCTCGGGAGCGCCGACCCCACCCACTCCTCTCCAAGGCCCCCTGCACCTCGCTCCGACCCGAAGCCCCGGGTCTGGAAGTGCCCGCCGTGGCTGGGGCAGACCCTCCTGCCGGGGCCCAGGCCCGCCCACGGCCTCACCGAAGCACCAAGCCCCTCTGGATCTCCGTCTTCATCTTCTCCGTCATGTGCTCCACGTTGGCCTGCAGGGGCGAGGGGCGCGGTGAGCCAGCACTGCCGCCACCGCTGCTGAAAGGCAGGCTGTCTGGGAAGGAACATTCCAGGCTAACTGACACCAGGACCCACGGGTGATGGGGGCACATGCAGGAGTGCACTGAGAGGTGGCGGCTGGACTGTGAGGCCACGGAAGCAACAATGTGGACACAAGGCAGGGTACTGAGGGGGGTCGGGGCCCAGAGTCACGGGCCAGGTCCCCTCACAGGCAGTGAGCCCCCAGCCTGCTGGGCCGTGGCTCCTTGGCCAGGCCCAGCCGCTGTGCCAGGCTGGCCCTCATGTGTCAGGAGGGGACCCACTCAGCTTTGCTGGGTGGTCTGCAGCAGAAGGCTGAGGGCTCGGCTCACCTTTAAGTCTTGGATGTTGAAAGGGTCCTCGAAGATGTAGGCGGCATCAGCCCCCACGGCGATGCCGGTCACGGTGGCCAGGTAGCCACAGTAGCCCCCCATGGTTTCCACAATGAACACACGGCGCTTGGTCCCCGAGGCCGACTGCTTGATGCGGTCACAGCTCTGGGGGGGCAGGGGTGGTCAGGGACCTCCGCGGCGGGCCGGGGGGAGCGCTATGCTGCAAGGACCTGGTCTCTCTCCAAAGTGACTGAGGGTCAGGAGGAGGCCGAGGAAGTCCCACACCCTACGTGCCCAGGGCCCCGCAGCCCTCACCACAGGCTCGCCACAGGCCACACAGAATCAGGGTCCTCAATCAAGGAGATTCTGCCCCCGGGGGCAACGGGGGTGTCACTGGCATATAGCGGGGCAGAGACCAGGGACATGGCTAAGAGACTCTCCCTGACGTTGGGCCTTCGCGTCTCATCTGCGAGCGGGGAAGGCCAATGCTGCCACTGCAGGTCATTGTACACCAGGGACCGGCAACACGTGAGGTGACATGCTCATGAGGTGCTATCGGTAACGTGACGCGTATCAATAATCCTGACTCTGAATGAGTTTGAAAAGGAAATTGTAACATGAAATAGAGAATTGAGAAAAAAGAAAGAAAACAAGATAAGTAGGTTCCTGGGGTCTGAACCATGAAGCTAAACCCCAGATAATAGACAAACAGCAAAAAGGAGAAAACAGCTGTAACATCTGCCCATCTGCCCAAGGGTCAACAGCCTACACGTGTAAAGAGCACTTGAAAAAAAAAAAAACTCACCAAGAGAAAAATGGGCCAATGATAAAAAAGATAATTTAAGTTTAAAAAAAAGGGGCAATAAATGTACACAAAAATGTTCAACTTTATCAGAAATCAGAGTGGCCAATTAAAACAGAAGCCCGCCTTCCCCGTCTCAGAGGCAAAGCACACAGGCCCACGCGCGGCACTGGCGAGGCACGGGCACCAAAGGCTCAAAGGAGCTGTGGGCGACCCACAGCCGGCGGAGACGACAGGGGTTCAAAGAAAGCCCCGCAGGATCAGGGCGTCTCTGGGTCGGGAGGTCCCTTGTTTCCCGAACGCACAGGACACAGCTGTGTGCAGCGTGCCCCTTGCAGCCTCACAGCCCCCCACAGAGGTCTGAACCCCCAAGGGAAGTTGGGCTTCAGTGGGGTCACAGACGGGTGGGAAAGGGCTCAAGCATGGGGAGTGCAGTGAGGAGGCCCCCCCAGAGCCTCTGCTGGGGACACCCTGCTTGGGCCCCTCCAGGAATGGGGCCCCTCCTGGGACACCCACAGAGGAGGACAGCTGTGACGACTGCCAGGTTCTCCCGAGCACCCCCCACTCCCCAGGCCCAGCCGGCAGCCTCAGCTCCCCCCAGATCCATGTGTGACCACTTCCCCGGACAACCGTGGCTCGTCAGCCACACCTCTACGTGAGGGCAGTGACGTGGGCTCAGCCCTGACCACTGTCATCCTCACGCCCTGTGACCCCGACCACACCCCTGCCTGCCGTCCACAAGCTTCAGGGCACAGCCGGGTTCTGCCCACCCCAGAAGCGCGCAGCCGGGTGGGCCCCATGCCCTGTCCTGCCCGAGGCAGCCCCCCGGGCGCCCACCACTGTGCCCTTTCCTGCCGTGTCCCTCCCCTGGGGGCACACCCCAGCCACCCCATCCTACTGTGGCCAGCCCCAGTGGGCGGCAGGGGTCGCGGTGTCCTACCTCCATGGCGGCGTTGACGGCGGTGTCGGAGCCCAGGCTGAAGTCGGTGCCCGGCACGTTGTTGCTGATGGTGGCAGGAATGACGCACATGACGATGCAGAGCTCCTCGTAGCAGCCCCTCGCCTCCACCAGCTGCAGCACCCCCTCATAGGCCTGTGGGACAAGGGGCGCAGGACCCGGAGGGGCGGGGGTGCTCAGGGGACTCAGGACCCAGAGCGGTGGGGCGCTCAGGAACTGGGGAGGGGGTATCCTCAGGACCCAGTGGGGCTGGACTGGTGAGGAAGGGGGGCTCCACCCCAGCTTTGCAGCCCCCATGGGCCAGGGACAGTGGGCTCCAAGGAGGACAGGAAGGAGGCTGACCCCTGCTCCACCCTCACCCCCCGACCAGGACCTGGGCTGCCAGCTTTAATCTGAGCTGTGAAGGTCAGGAGAAGGTAAAAACCCTCCTAAGCCAAACGCCACACTTCCCTCGGCCTCGCGGTAACCTCCCTGCACATGTGGTTTTTGGAAGGGCGAGGGAGCTGCTCTCGAGTCCCCTCCCCCACTCTCGGTCCCCGGCGGTGGCCTCACCTCGAAGCCTCCGATGACCAGCAGGGCGTGGATGTTGTACCTGCGAATGTTCTCCACGATTTTCTCTATGTAGCTCTTGGGCAGCGTCCTGCAGCGGGGGAAAATCAGACCAGCATGTGGCCTGCACAGACTGCCAGGCCGCAGGCCACAGGGCCACGCTGCCCTGACCTGCCCCCAACCTGGGGATGACGCAGGCCCCATGGGGGTGCAATTGTGGGTTAGAGGCAGAAGCAGAGGCTCAGTGCCCAGCGGTGGGGGGCAGGCAGCCTGGCACCCACTCGGCGTCCTTGCCAGCACTGGCCAGGTGACGGGGAGCCCCTCACCCCTGCGACCTGTGAGCTCTCTGCAGATGTGGGGCCGCTGAGCAGCCTTGCCCTACACACGCGGCCCCAGGGGAACCCTCCGTCAGGGAGTCCCAGGCAGGACGGTCTGTAGCCCGCTGTGGCAGGCCACCAGCAGAGGGGTAACCTCGCCCAGGGCCCGGGCTGACTTCCCATGCAGCCCCCCAGCTGAGCCTGCACTCTGCATCTCCCACTGCAACTGCCCACGGTGGCCAGCGGCCCACTGCTCACCTCTTGGTCCCCAGCATGGAGCCACCACGCCCCAGCCAGCCAGCCACGTCGTGCCAGCCCACTTCTTGCACCTACGGAGGGAGGCACAGCTTCAGGTGAGCAGGCCGGAGGTACTGGGCAATTCTCCATCAGGTGCCAGACCTGTGCTCAGGGACAGTGTGTCCGCAGGGGGACAGAGGCCGTGCCAGTGCAGGCCGTCATGCCGCAGGTCAGAGTGGGGTCTCAGGGCCCTGGGCAGGGCATAGCTAACCCCTCCCCCTTGTCCTCTGACCCGTTTTCTTCAGGGAACTGAACTGTCATTCCCTGCGTTTCCACACTGAGTCCTCATTAGTTTGTGAGAAAGCTGGGTTGGGCCATAAACCAGACAACGCCCCACACGCCCGGCCACGTGCACCTACCTGACCCTTGGCCAGCCCTTCGAAGCCGTCATGCACCACGTACACAGTGTGGCCCTGGCAAATGCCGGAGCGCACGGCCGAGCGCACGGCCGCGTTCATGCCTGCCGCCGGGGCCCCCACATTCAGGATGGCCAGGGAGAAGTTGGTCTTCAGAGAAGGGGACAGAGACAGGGTGTGAGCACGGGGCTGGGGAGGGCCACTGACCTGACTGAAGTCAGGGGGGACAGTTTTCCTGCCAGCCCGACTCTGGGGAGCGAGAAATCCGTCCTCAGGACCCCACAAGTTTCTGGTGAAGAGTAAATGGGCTGCAGTGCAGGCCCGGCTTGTGGGCTTTAGAGGACTTGGTCCCCACGGGCCCGGCTTGTGGGGGCAGTGGGGCGGATTCAGGCCACAGTCCAAGCCTGCCTGGAAGCCTCGGCAATCAGCCCGCACTCAGGGGTCAGCAGCCAGCACCCCAAGTCCTTGGCGAGTGGCACGAATGCAGACAGAAGGGGTGCCACCACTGCCATAGCCACATTAAGTCCAAAGCAACAGGTGACCCTACTAGTTTATCTACCCTGGCGAAAAAAGCATGACCACCTCCACCTGGAATCAACAGCGGAATTACTGATGAGCTACTTCACATCCGGCTCACACTGTGTCCTTGGACCCCGGCCGGCACGCCTCATTCCAGGGGCTGCATGGTCACATGTGGCCAGGGGCTCCCTGAGAGGCGTGGCTGCAGTGGGTCCCAGAAGGAGCAGCCCTGCTGCCCAGAGGCCGTCACGCCCCTGCCAGTCCAGGGAGGGGCTGTGCAGCCCACGCTGCGGCCAGCTCGGGGCGGCGGGGGACTACCTGTCCCTCACTAGCTCCTGGGATAAAAGGGGAGCTGGAGATGGGACACAAAAGGTGATACTGGTAGGGTGATGAGCACCCCAAGCTGGAGACACACTGCAGGGGTCTCCTCAAAACAGTGGCAACGTTAGTGACAACGGCCTCAGGCACTGACCACCCCAAAGCCTCTGCTGCAGGGTGGCTGCCGCTTTCTGTCGGCCACCCCATGGCCGTGGCCCCCTCTACCCAGCACTGTCTTGGGATCCTCTCCTTGTCCCCAGAGGCTTCAGGAACAAGTCCTGCTCTCATTCTTATTTTGAAGAGAGCCCAACTCCCCAGGTTTTTAGCCGTCTCGGAACAGTTCACAAATGTCAGATCCTTCTCTGCTGAGTTAAATCTTGGGCCTGACTTAACTCCCTGCAGCTGCCTGATTGGGGCCGCTGGTCAAGCAGAGGCCAAGCTGGCTGCGCAGGCCCCACACAGGCGGCAGGGCCCGGCCCAGCCGGACCGGGGCGGGCGGCAGCCGGCAGAGCCAGGGGCAGCGGTCGCAGCGCCAGCTCACCTTCTCCTTGGAGAGTTTCTGGTGCGCGAGCAGCTTGTAGATGTTCCAGTTGTTCTCAAAGCTCCTGGAAGGGAAGCGGTCGTGCGTTGTGCCCCACGCCCACGCCCACGCCCACGCCACTCAGCACAGCGCCTGCCTGCCGCTGCCACGAAGGAGCTGACAGGGTGCAGACCACCTCCCCACTGTCCTGACCACACACCCTGGCCGGGTGCCATCACCGTGGCAGACCCCGTAGAACACGGGGTCCCAACATCCTTGCAGCAGAGCCAGGGCCCGCAGCCCCTGCCCAGGGCTGGCTGCCCCCGTCCGCCCCTCGCCCGGTCGGCTTCCCTCTTCCAGGACTGCTGGGGCCCCCTCCTCCTAAACACCGCTTGGCCGCACACACGCGGAAGGAAGGGCCTTGGCAGAGTGCAGCGTGCCCGCCCTGAGGTGTGCCCGCCCCACGTGCCGAGGCCCCGCACCTGCCGCGGAGCTGGATGGCCTCGTCGAACCTCTTCTCGTCCATGGCCTTCTGCACCTCCTTGGTCTTAAAGGGAACACACAGCACAGACTGTGGCAGGGGCCAGGAGCACACACAGCTGCCCCGAGTCGCGGGCCTGTCCCACAGCCGCCCGGCAGTGGTCACTGCCAAGGCCAGCCATCAGGAGGGCTGGCTGAGGCCCAGCGGGCCCCACTGGACCTGGCACCAGGTCCTCCTCAGCCCCTGGGGGCCCAACCAGGGCCTGTCTGGCCCCCAGACCCACAGCTGACACCCAACCTGACCAGACAGGGCTGGTAGACGTCACGACACGGGGTTCTTCTAAGAGAAGTCAGCGTGCCCACCCACCCCCACTTGGCCGCAGGGTCACCCAAACCTGTGGAGCCGGGGCCAGTGTCCCCACACTCAGCCTCTCGACCCTCACCTGCCACTCGCCCTTCCAGTGGCCCCTGGTCCGGCCACACCCAATGTCCCCACACCATCTGTTCGTTCACCCAGTGGCTCCAGCCAACCATTCCTTCTCCTCCCTCCCATGTTCACACCAAACGCCCCTCCCCGCCCAGTTTACAAGGTGGGTCCATGGCCACCAGCTCCAGGAAGCTACATGGCCTCAGCTTAGCGCCCTCCTCTCTTGGGGCTCGTCCCACCTTGGGCACACACTCACACCACCCCCCACCCAGAGGACTGCAGGCTTCAGACACCCTGTGGCCAGCTGGGGGGTGGGCAATGCGCCCACACAGCCAGGACAGGAGGTGGCGATGTGTGTGTTGCCTGCTCCACGCGACACAGAGATGAGGTTGGCAGAGGGACCTGGGCAGGCAGCCTGCTGGGGCCCCGGAGAAGCCTGGAAGGACCAGTGGTTCTGGGGAGAAGGGGAGAGCCACAGAGGCCCCCCCGGGCACCTCCCTTAGGAGGCCATGTACTCACCACCTGCACACACTCCATGAGGGGCAGCCGCACAGACTGGTTCCCAGAAAGGCTGACCACGCAGGCTGGCGTGTCGGGCGTGGCCTCCAGCAGCGCCATCACCGCCTCCATGCCCATCTTGCTGCTCTGAGCGGACAGCAGGGGGTTTAGGCAGGCGCACTCCACCCCCCAACGTGCACACACACGTACACACAGGTGCAGGCCCGTGGATGCACACACAGGCTCGTGTGCACACACACATACACACACACACACACACACACACACACACACACACTTGCACACACAGGCCCATACACACACACACCTGCTCGGCCCTTCTCTGTTCTGAGCCGGCCCCCACACCATGCCCAGTGTCACTTTGCTAATGTACAAACCCTTAGCTTCCAGAGTTCCCAACACACTGGTCAAGCTTCTAGAACAAGTGGCACCAGAAATAGTGACTTAATATGACCACCATTCACAACAGCCATCCGGGCACCCTTTCCCGGGGTTGCACACAGCNCCCAACGTGCACACACACGTACACACAGGCGCAGGCACGTGCACACACACACGTACACACAGGCGCAGGCACGTGCACACACACACGTACACACAGGTGCAGGCATGTGCACACACAGGCGCAGGCCCGTGCACAAACACACGTACACACAGGCGCAGGCATGTGCACACACACACGTACACACAGGTGCAGGCCCGTGGATGCACACACATACTTGCACACACAGGTTCGTGTGCACACACACACTTGCACACACAGGCCCGTGCACACACACACCTGCTCGGCCCTTCTCTGCTCTGAGCTGGCCCCCACACCATGCCCAGTGTCACTTTGCTAATGTACAAACCCTTAGCTTCCAGAGTTCCCAACACACTGGTCAAAGCTTCTAGAACAAGTGGCACCAGAAATAGTGACTTAATATGACCACCATTCACAACAGCCATCCGGGCACCATTTCCCAGGGTTGCGCACAGCCCTGCCAGGACAGTGTGGCCCCGCACCTCAAGGCTGCAGTGACAGGACTTGCCCATGATCACTCAGCCTGACTGGGGAGGGCGAGGGTTGGAACCAGGTTTCCAGGGTTCTTTCCACTACAACATTTCTCAACTTTGTCACAACTTTATCGGCGTGTGTGCAAATGATGGACATGGGCTGCTAGGCTGGGCCAGCTAAAACATTGAAGGACTGCCCTCCTTAGGGACAAATTACAAATGCAGATCCTGGCACAGCCAAGGGAACAGACAGGTACAAGCAAGCTCCGCGGCCACCACGCTCTGCTCTGTGACACGACAAGCGGGTCCCTGGCCTCCTGCTATGCCCGCAGATGCAGATGGGGCTCCCTAGCCTTCTGCACAGCTTGGGGGCGAGGCGCCAACTGCTGAGCTTTGTGTTAGGAGCAGCCTAGGAAGGAAGTGCCCGCCCCCTTGGGAGCACCGTGCTGACAGCTCATAAGGGAAGATGGGGTCCCTGAGCTCAGGCTCTGCTCCTGTGATGTGACACACTGTGTGGTCAGGTCGTCCCATGGGAACTGGACTCAGGGACCAGCACAAAACGCTACCACTCTCGCCATGAGTGACAAACTGTCCTTTGTCTCACCCAGGCATCTCGTGTCTTCCGCCAGCAACCGTGACACAGGCAGGCCAGCCTGCTCTCCTGCAAGCTGGGGAGACCCCAGCCCCACCCCAGCCCATCTCTGCTGCCCAGGCGTGGTGCGGGGGGCAGTGCTTGGCCCTGATGTCCCAGGCCCCTCAGAAGGCTCCCCGAGTGCACCTGAGGCCTCACGTAGAGTGTAGAGGCACATGGCCAGGTGGGCAAGGCCCCTGTGGGAAGCCACTGTCCTCGCTGCTGGGGAAGATGGCCCGGGCAGGTCATCCGGCCTCACAGCAGCAGCGGTCCGGGTGGTCTCCTGCCCCCACCCCAGGTGACCAGCCCTCACATGCAGGCACCTCACCACCCATGGGGCCCTGCCTGGCCCCTGACCCTCCATGTGGCCACAACATGAGTCCCACTCTGCAGAGGATGAGGTGAGGCCCAGCAGTCACCAGGACGACGATGGCACTCAGGCCGGAACCCAGGCCCCTGCCAACATCTGACTCCTCAGGGTGAGCGCGGCGGTGCCCAGGCTACGGGCCAGACTCAAAGCACGCATGCTCACCCCACACATACACCCAGGGCCGGGGCGATGTCCCACCTACCAGGATGCGGTCAAATGCCGAGGGGGTCCCGCCCCTCTGCACGTGGCCCAGCACAGTCACACGCGTGTCGAAGCCCAGCCTCTGGACCACCAGCTGCTCATCGGAGAGAGTAAGGGGGTCCCTGGGTTGGCTGCCCACCCCCACCGGCTTGCCTCCCCACAAGCCCCCAACCCTGGTCCACCCATCCATTTCCTGCTTCAGGGATCCTGGGGTATCAGCACCCCAGTCCCCACAGAGCCAGCCCAAGGTTCATGCTCATAGCATGAGTGTGCGGGTGTGTTTCCGTGGATGTGTGTGTGCTTCCATGTCTGTGTCTCCGTGAGTGGGTGTATGTGTATCTGTGTGAGTGTGTACGTGTGTCTCTGTGTATACATGTCTGTGTGTATGCATGTGTCTGTGCGTCTATACGTGTTGTGTGTATGTGTGTGCCTGTGTCTCTGTGTGTGCACGTGTGTCTCCGTGTGAGTGCACACATGTGGGGATCCCGGGCGGGCCTCGCCCTGCAGGGAACGTGCTGTGAATGAAGACTGGTGGGAGCTTCCAGCAGGTCTAGGGCCCGCCTCGGCCTCTGGGGCCAGCGCTTCTCAGGGTCCCGGGTGCATGCACCCCGCGTCTGGCTATCACCGGGGATGAGGAAGCCTCTAGGAGCCTCCTGTCTGCAGGGTGGGGGGCCCAGCAAGAGCCCTGGAGACTGGAGATAAAGTGGAACCCACCCACGTGACCCAGGTCTCCTGGGGGCCCCCCTGCACTCACGTCCTTCACGTAGCGGGACGAGATGGGCTTCCCTTTGCGGTCGATGGCGCCCTCGGCGATGATGATGATGTTCAGCCGGGACCCTCGGCTCCGAGTCTGGGTCACAGACACCCAGGCTCAGCCACCAGCTTGACAAG